CGTCCAAAATTTGACAAATCTGAATTCAGTTTCAAATATTAATCCACATCGCCGTGAGTCATTGGAGAGCATTTTGCCCTGCCTCCTAAATACGTCATTTAAATGTCAGAAATTCCGTTTGGCAAATCAGCTATTGTACAGCAGTGAGTAGCAATCAGTATCGTATGCACGTGATCTTGTAAAAAAAAAGAGAGTATTCTTCCCTTATACTATTGGTTATTATCTTGCTTTTTTTCTTCTTAGGAAACTGTACAGTGTACATAATTATAGCGGAATGAGCGGAAATCCGCTTTTTTCTCCCAAATTTTAAAATTTCCTACCATGTTCCAAAAACTAAAATTTTTAGGGAGTCCAATTAGAGAAACCCAAGCCGCCGGATTTGATTTTTTTTTGTTTGGCTGATTTTCGGAATTTTAAATATTAAGAATGCGCTGGAATATGCTAAAATCGCGATTTTTAATCAGAGGATTTTAATATCGATTTTCGTATTTAACTGATTAAAAACTTACGTGTTGCGATTTTTTTTTACGCTATTTAAAAATCGTACTAGCAATTCCTATTCACTCAATTTAAAAATTCAATATCGCGATCTGTATTCTCGCGAGTTTAAAATCCAACGTATTTACGCATTTCGTGATTCGTATTTACGCATTTTTAAATACAATATTGCGATTCGTTATCACGCAGTTGTAATATCAGATCTCGTTTTTCGTATTTGTACACTATTTAAAAATTACTCATTGCGATTCGTATTCACGTGATCTAAAAATTATGCATCGTGATTCTTATTTACGCTATTTAAAAATTCAATATCGCTATTTGTATTTTCGCGCTATTTGTATTTTCGCGTTCCAACAGCGCGATTCATATTCACATGATTTTATAATCCAAAATCGCGTTAAATATTCACGCTATTTTAAAATCCAACCGCACGATTCATATTCACGTGACTTTAAAATCTGATATCGTGATTCATATTCACTTGATTTTAAATTCAAAAATCGCGATTCATATTCACTTGATTTTAAAATCCAACCGCACGATTCATATTCACGCGATTTTAAAATCCAATATCGTGATTTGTGATTTTATAATCCAAAATCGTGATTCATATTCACGCGATTTTAAAATCCAATATCGTGATTTGTATTTTCGTGTTTTTAAAATCCAACAGCGCGATTCATATTCATATGATTTTATAATCCAAAATCGCGATTCATATTCACGTGATTTTAAAATCTGATATCGTTTCATATTCACTTGATTTTAAAATCAAAAATCGCGATTCATGTTCACTCGATTTTAAAATCCAATATCGTGATTCATATTCACGCGATTTTGAAATCCAATATCGCGATTCATATTCATGCGATTTTAAAATCCAAAATCGCGATTCATATTCACGCTATTTTAAAATCCAATATCGTGATTCATATTCACACGACTTTGAAATCCTATATCGTGATTCATATTCACGCTATTTTAAAATCCAAAATCGCGATTCACATTCAACCGATTTTAAAATCCAATATCGTGATTCATATTCACACGATTTTGAAATCCAATATCTCGATTCATATTCACGCAATTTTAAAACCCAATATCGCAATTCATATTCACGCTATTTTAAAATCCAGTATCACGATTCTAGAAAGAAGTAGAATTATGTTTTTTCTTGAATTAGTTACTGTAAAGATGTGATATATTTTTCTACAGTTGTTGCATTTAAATTACTAAGTGCATTCATAATTACATTTTATGATTGTATATTTAGCTATATAAATTAAAAGAAAATAGTCAACTAACTGATCTTGTGAATGCAAGAAAGTACAATCTACTAGTCAATGCCAATTAACTAAAAAGTTCACTTTTATACTTAATAAAGGATGCAAGTCATTTTAGAAAGAAAAGTATATTTATATGTGTCTTTTTAAATTGTTTATAATAGTTTTTATATATTTCTGTTTTGATATAAAAATGTATATATGCTAATTTTTGGCTATTAAGTGCTCCCTAAAATTTTCTTGAAAAATTCCGACCTAAAATATTTCAAAATTTCACTGCACCTCCTGAATTCTATCAAAGAGTGTTTTTTTTTTTGTGCTATTTACATTTTCTTAAACTCTCATTATTTAATTACTGCATTTCTCTTTTAATTATTGAAATCTGTAGACCTTCCATTGTAACTGAATAGTTATATGTTTTGAGATGAAATTTGAGCTCAAAATAAAATGGGTATTTTCCCTTTTGAATTACCAAAACTAAATAGATATATTTTTTAGAAAGGTTACACCATTATATTTTAAAAAATAAGAAAGTTAATATTTACTTTGTAAAATTCTGGAACAGATACTATTCAATGGCATAAATGATAAATGCAATATATATGAAAACAACAGAGTCCACAAAACAATTTTGTGCACTCTTATAATCAATCATATGCAGGTTTTTTAAAATCCTAAAAATAGTGAATGTAAGTATAATTATAGTACTCCTAGTATGCTATTATTGGTTTTATGGATCCTGAAAATTATCTTTATATTGTTATCAAACTGATTAATAGTCATTTTAGCTGAGATAAACTGTGCCAAAAAATAATTTTAGCTGAGATAAACTGAGCCAAAAAGAGATTTTAACTGAGACGAAATGCAATTTCTGGTGAGACAATTTGATATTTTGCGAGTAGCACCCCTGATATATATATATATATATATGTGTGTGTTATATGTGAGAATGTTAAGAGGGCAGACAGGTTGCTCACACACAACTTAGCCAGTTATAAACTATGATGTATCTTCAATCTGTAAATATAATTTCTAATAACAGTTCATTATTGCAAGTCTGCAACATTCTAATTTCTTAATATTCTTATATGCAAAGTTGTGCTTTTGGAAAGAATAGGGGCAATCATGCCTTTTGTCAAAAAGCAGAATTAAATTTGGCAGTCAAAGAAGATAAATTATGTTATCTCTAAATAAGCAGTGTTTTCCCTAAGAACTTTTAGAAGGACGGTCTTTGATCCATATAAATGCGTACTCTTAGCCCTTTTGAAAAATAAGCTGTCTTCCCTTAAGAACGCTGCCTTATTATTTATATTCAATTTTTATGAAAAATTAACTGTTAAAAAAATAATTACACTCAAAAATCATCTGTGTTTATAGGTTTAATTCTGATTACTATTACAGATATTTACCTTGTTAGGATTAGGATTATTCTCAACTGGTTAAATTTTTATAAGTTTTTCTTTTTTCAAGAGGGTATATTAATAAATTTTTCAAGTAATTTTAAAATTATTTTTTAAATAAATACCTTTTAAAAAAAATGCATCTATAAATATTTATTTTCTAATAATTTTTAGTATGTATTATAGAAAAAATATTTTCCGCTGTTTCTCAAAAATTAATTTTTTGGTCTACTTTATTTAAAATTTTTGCTCAGCATGCCGTAAATTATTATTCATAAACTATAAATTTTCTCATATTACATAATGGATGATGTTTTCTACACTAGGGAACGCTGCAAGCTCGGGGCTGCCTAAATTTCCAGGTTACTGTTTCAGTTGTATTTTAAAGGCATTTGGCATCATTGTGTTTTGAGATTCTTGCAAGCAATGTATTTGATTACTTATTACCTATGTTTACAATGCTAACAATACTCGTGTTTACAATACTAAAAGTGTTAACACCAACGTAAGATGGTGCACAGCTTGCAACATGAACAAACAGTAATAAACAAATGGAAAGAGGCCAAATCAAGACTGCCAAAAAAGCGAGATATTCAAAATCTAGCAACCATGTCACCTTTTTTAATAATAAATAACAAAATAACTAAAACAAATTTTCACTCCTAACTCCCCAGAATTACATAATAGCATTAATACCTTATCAAATACGGCAGATTTGAGCTCAGAAATTATCTAATATTTATTTCTTTGATTGAATACAAAATTATCCGTTTGAAAACATCGCCTATCAGAATAACATGTAGCAAGCAGCTGCAAACTTTTTAACCGGAACTAGAGTAGGTGCCGAGCTCGAGATTGTTATTGTTTACATTCCTGTATTGAAAACACCATCCATAGTGAAAAATACTGAATTTTGAATTTGAAATATATACATACAATAGTATAAGATGGTAACTTAATTGTTGAGGATCAAATTCGGTTATTGCATGATATTAGACATTTTGATAAATTTTTACGAAGTTAAGTGAGTGCCCTTTTCTGTGAGGAAGCACTCAGCAGGGAGAAATAAGCAGTAAAATGGAATAAACACCATCAGTAAAGTGTAATGTAAGGATTTACTTATAGTCTGATTAAGAAAAATATTTCTTCCAAAATAGTATATATTTTTTATTTTAATATCAAAATAATAAAAACTGTATTCAGAAATTGCCAAGTTTGTGAAAATCATTTTGATGCAAAATATTTAGATGTTCGTGAAAAAATTTAATATGCTTAAAATGGAAGCAATGAATCACAGAAAATAAAAAATCTAAGAAAAAAAAAATATATATAACGGCTCAATTAAGGAATGTGTTCATCTTCGTAAAGGGAAAATCTGCACATTTTTAAAGCACACTTACATCAAAAGACAACTAAACTAAGTCTTTAAAGAAATAGCAAATAAAAAATCTGAGGTTGTACTAGTAGAAAATTTTAACTATTAAAATGCAAAATGAGATACAAGCTACTCATTGGCCTCATCAAATAGTAATAATTTCCACAGGCTATGTTTGATATGGCAAAAAAAAAAAAAAAAAAAAAAAAAAAAAAAAAAAAAAAAAAAAAATTATTTTATGCCCCTAAAGAATACTTTTTTTTCAGTGACTCTCTACACCAAAAGGATGAAAAAAAATTTTTTAAGGATAAAATTGATTCAAAGCAACTTCTTTGACATAAAGTCTTGTTAATGATTAAAAAATTGTTACTTTTGTTTTATTTCCTTATAGCATTTAACTGTATGATAGAAGATCAAGATTTCTCCTTTTTTTATTTTTAGTTTGCTGGTCTAGACTTTTCTTCCACTCGAGCTAGTGGCCCTAAAAGTTCTGGTTCTGGTAAGTCAACTTGCTTTTTAATTATGTAAAAATCGTAAAATAGTTTTAAATCGTAAAAAAAAGACTTCGTTCGGAAAAATATTTACAAGAAAATATTTTTGTGAACCATTAGTTATTTTTGAAAAGTTTTTTATTTTAACCTATGTAGTTAGCAGATTGAAGGATTTAATTTGGATGCATAGACTCCAGTTATGTCTAAACATTTATACTAAGTATCACAAGTTCAATGTCTAATTTTATGTTATCCTTTGAACTGATAAATAAAGTTGTTGTAAAATAAAGTAAATCATCTGTAGTTTAATTGCATGTATTAAATTATCGGTGATGTTTTATATCAATTGGTAATCTGCTAAATATTTCAAATTTTCACAAATTTCAATTTTCTATAAATGTGTTTGTTATTTTATTATTTTTTTGTTATTATATTATGTTTTTTTTATTTTTAAAAAGGTTGTAATGACTAAAGCAAGATCGTAAAAGCTGTTATATCATAAGTTGTTTGACTAATATTCATTCTAAAACTCAAAGTTCGATAAAAAGGAAAGGTTTTTATTCAGAGAGGTTATGCCACACAAAATTTTACTGCATGATTGATCTCAGAGTTAATGCCTCTGTTACAAATAACAAATTATTAAGAAAATATGATTAAAAATCTTTTAAAATAATTATTAAAAATACAATAAATGAATATATGCAATCTTACATCAATAATAATTGAATTTCAATAATTTTTCATCATGAATTTTCTGTTAGAAACACAATTGAATTTCAAGCATTTTTGGTTGGATTCCACACTCATTGATTTCTTTGTTTAAATTTTAATTCGTGATGATTGAAAGGTGTCACCTCATATGTATTGCTAAGATTGATCTATACTGAGAGGGCAAATGTTATGATATAACAATATGCCCCTGTGGCCGAATTTTTTCGACATACCTATCTAATACAAATACCTATCTAATTCAAATATTATTGCAAGATATTTTTAAAAATAACAAATATACGAGTTACTGAATTAAAGTGACAAAAACATTAACTTAAGAAGAAAAAAAACTTTTTTGATGAAGTAAAATAGTTTTTCAATTAAATATGTAATTTATATTATTTTTATATTCTATTATGGGCGATATTCTCGCATTTTGTTGGGAGAAAACACACTAATTGTTTCCTTTTTCACTTTTTGTAAATCATCACATTAAAAAAAAAAACTAGAGAAATCATGATATCCGTATCAGTAACTACCGAAAAAAAAAGGGTTGACGAAATCACGCAAATCGGACTCTTTAAAAATAGGTTACTAAATACTTGTTTTTAATTCGAGATTCAGTTGTATTAAATAATATTGTATTAAAAATATCGGATTTTAAAAACTATGTAGAAATTAATAGTAATTACTGTATTAAAAAATTAAAGCGAAAATTTCTACAGAAAAGAAAAGCAAAATTTTTTGCTTCATTATTCTTTATTTTTCATTATTCTCAAATGAGAGAAAGAAAATCTCAAGCATTTTTTTCTACTCCAATGCACGAGAAAGGCATCTTTTGAATGTAATTCTGAGAAGAAAAAAAATAAAATCTTTTTAAAAATTTCTGCAGAAGAAAAAAAATTTTTTTTTTTTACTTCCCAAAAGAAAAATCTTTCTACAGGAACTCTGTAACGTTCTGCGACAGTGTTGCCACGATTCTGCCACTGGGCAATATGGAATTATACAGATAGCCGTGGTATGGCATACAGAAGTATATATGGGTAGTGCACTGGCAGGACTTTAATTGTGTCAAGTTATTCATCTGAGAATGTTTCTGATTTAATTATTACATACTAGACAAAATTAACAGTCTTGGGACATGGAATGGTAGTTGGAGTTAGATGCATGAGACATTCCATTTTGAAACTTGTGAGGGAATTCATTCCTAGATTTATAGTGTCAAGATTGTGCTGAGAAAACCTAATTTCAGGCATAACCTCCCATTGTGAACAATGTAGTGGCCGCCCGCGAATACTTAATGACACCATAGACGTGCACGCAGAATTATCTGGATTTCATAGTTAACTTACAACAGATAACTTACAACAGGTTAAGATTTACATTGGAAAAAAACAAAAATATAAAAATAATTTCCTTTGCATTCATAGTATTGAGTTAGACTTGAAATAGAATCAGTATTGATAAGTCATTATGGCTTATTAACCAATAAGTCATAATGGATTATTAATGACTTAAGAAAAAGTAAAGCTTTTTTTAAATCTATATCCTTTTAAATGACTTCTCCTTTAACTTTTTTATAACAATTATTCTAATTACACAATGGTTTAAATATTTATTTTTTCTGTTCCATGATTTATTTAAGAAAGTTATTGACTTAAAATCATAATATTTCTGTCTCAAATGTAGAAAGATACGTTCCTCCTCATCTTCGTAACCGCCCGAACAATTTCCAAAACAGTGAGAACTCTGTTAAAAAATATAGTCCAGATAACAGATCAAACTATTCCGATAATGAAAAGCATGAAGTTAGACGGGAGACAGAAAATAATAAGTTGAATGGAAGAGGAGATTTTGAAAGAGAAAGAGAGAACAACAAAGGTAATTTTTTAAAGTCCTTTATCATTTTATTGTGCAATTATAATTTTTGTTAACATTATTACATTAAATATAATATGTGTTATTTGAAATAGTATTTTATACTTTTTCTAAATTTTTTATTATAGGTCGAGAATTTTCTAACTTTAATAGAGGAGGAAGTGGAGGAGGTAGAAAAGTGAGTGGTGGCAGTAGTGGTGGTGGTGGTGGTGGAGACTTTTCAAGTGTTCCATTTCGTAAAGGAGATTGGTATGTTGAATTGCAATATCTCATTTTATGATTATATGTTTCTTAATTGAAGATTAAATGTTAAAATTAATTTTTCTTCATTTAAATGGTTTGACTTAGGTTCTGAAGGCAAATTTATTATCCTTATTTTATTTTTCACTACTAACTTCCTGGTTATTGTAGAAATGTTCTAGCAATTTAGTCATAGATAATAATGTTTATTATCCACAATTTGGTTGAAAAAGTCACCTGAAAATGTGTTATAGGAATTAAATGAAGTTTTTTTTAATCTTCATTTTTTGTTAGCACTTTTTAATATGAATTAGTCACAGAAAAATGAGTTTATCTCTACCAAAAGGTAAATAAGAAAAACTCTATGAACTTACTGTCCCAATAAGTTACAAAAAATTTTTGTATGGAAAAATATGAGATGTTACGGTAGAAGAGAATTCTTATACTTTAAATTATCATGTTTAAATTTATAGAAAAGGTTCATTCTTGTCTCTTAAGGAAAAAATAATTTGAAAAAAAAAATTCTAGATTATGAGAAAAAAGAATTTTTAGGAGATTTTATTTTTGATTAAAAACATAATTTCCTATTGCATGTTATAAAACCTTAATTTTTTTGCAAAAGTAAAAACCAAGTTGTATTGTAAATTTGTTTAATTATTTTAAAAGTTTTTATATCAGAATAAATTCTTATTATATATTTTCAAAATTGATGAAAATTTTAGTTAATAAGTTAAAATTGAAAAAGGAACTTTTCTGGTTAAAATAGATTTTTTTTTAAATTATGGTTTGCATAGGAAATGTTTTAGGTAAGAAAAAAAGCCATGAAATCAACTTTTCTGGAGAGAAAAAGGATTTCCAATAGTACTAATTTCCAAAAATTTAAATCATTCAAGAAATGCTCAAGTCCTAAGATGCTACAATACTAAATGCAATTGAAATATGCAAATGACTTAGAAAGTTTACTGATTCCAATGTAGATCATGTTTAAAATATGCCACAGTGATATTGAATGTTTATGAAATTATTATTTTACAAAATTTGAAGCTTCCAAATGTTTTAATGAAAAATAAATAGCAAATTAATTTTATTTTTAAGCGGAAAATTTATTTTAAATGAGATTTTATAAGCATTTTCATAAAATTATTTATAATAAATTATAAACAAAGCTAAGATTCTAAATATGTTTAAAATCTGCAAAAATCAAAATTTGTTAGAATTCATAGGAGAGACTAGAGTTTAATTGACTAGTTGGCTTCTTTTTTTCAGTATAATATTGTAATCCAAGTATTCCACTATAAGCTGAGTGATTGTATAATCCATTAAAGTTATGTTCTTCCAAGAAAATATACCACTTTTAATAAGTTATAATAGTAATTTTTTTGAAAATAAACATTTACCCAATAAGTTTTTTTGTTATTATGAAATTGCTAAGTTGATTCTAACCAATCTCAACTAACTATAACTTTCATTTTATCATGCCAGTAGTTTTTTATCTTAATTTTTGCTTTGCATTAAATCTTGTGTTATAGAAACTGTGCAACCTCACTATAAGCTTTTTTTTTCATTTCATTTTAATGTACTCGGGTGGCTTGCCATTTTGAGGCAAATGTAGGAATTGCCATTCAAAAGTGACTTAATGAACATTTATCTTTTTCTTGTTATTTTTTTTTAATTTCTGTATTAGTTATAGTTGCTACAGCACTTTTTAGCTACATTACCATCTGTCCAAAATTTTTGGTTCAAGAACAGTATAGCCGCACTGGGCTTTAATGTTATTATGGCCACATGCAATCCAATCTTTTGGCTCATTAACTTTCCATATTCCTAAGTTTCATACAAAACTATTGAAATTCTATTAAGACAAATGAATTACTTCTTAAATATATGAGTTTGTATATTTAAGGAGTATTTAATTTTCTGTTAGCTTAAGCTCAACAGGTAATGATGAATAAATCTCATAATAAGCTTAACCAACTTCTAGTAGATTTGCATGTTCTGTTGCATTTAAAAATCAGCGAGATATGTTTTCCAATCATATTATGAATTACATTATTTTTTTTATTATTATTTTTGCTGATTATAATAAACTTAATGTAATTGGAATAGTAAAAGTGTTATTTCTCTGAATATATTTTGATTTTTGGAATTTTTATGATTAGTGAGAGAGTTGGTAACTGGAGAGATCCTAGCTTTGTTAAGGAATCATGGGAAGAGAAACCAGCCAGGGAAGAAAGAGGTGGCTATCGTAACAATTCATTTGACCGAAGAAGTACTGGTGGCAAACGCTTCGATAGGGACGAGGAGGATTGGAGTAGACCTCTACCTCGTGATGAGCGAGTAGAGAGGTATGTTCAAATGCTAATTACCAAAATAACTGACTAATTTAGTTTATAATTTTTTTTTATTTTTAAATTTCGGAAAATTGCTTGCATAATCTTGCTAGACTGAGTTTGTAAAAACTATATATTAAGCTAGTGATAAATGTACTGACAAAGTAATTTTCTGATTTCATTAATTGTTTACTAAAATCACAATAAATCATTTCTTGCTTCAATATTGAAAGTAATATATTATTTTTTAACAATTTTAGTAAAAACTTAAATTGTGTGTATTTGTAAATTACTCTTGTCAAATGTACATTGACTTTTTTTCCTTAGCTTTATTCTTTTTTGTAAATCGTGTTATGTAACATTTTGTTATTTTCTTAGCCATTGCAGATGAAACAGAAGAAAAAAGACTTAAAAGCATTTTTTTTTAAAAATTAAATTTTGTTATATCCATACTTAGCAATTCTCCATTTTTTATGCTAGTTCTGCCAAACAGCTTTTTCACATTTCTCCCGCTGTTTTTCATATACATTGGTTATCATAAATTTAGGGAAAATTACAACGATGACCATAACTCAAAAAGTTACTTAGAATTTCATAAAACTGGCACATATAATGTCTAAAATAACATAATATGTGATAACAAGACGATTATGGTGTTAAAGAATTTAGCATATGCATGAAATTAAAAAAAATCAAATGTAAATATTAAAATTTGATTACTTAAGGTTTAGGAATAATATATCAAATTCTCATTCATAAATCCAGTGAAACCTCCTGCAATGGATACTCCTGCAAAACGGGCGCCTCTGAATACGGACATATTTTTTATTCCCCAGGAATCTTTTATGAATAACCCATTATGTACACTCTCCTCAAAACGGACACTCCCATAACCGAAAGCGGACAGTAATTTTTGTCCTGAAGCGTTATTTTCTATCTTCAAACTGGACACTACTTTTTATAAATTTTAAAGCAGAAAAACTATTTCTGCTTTAAATTGCAAGAAAAAAAATGCAACTTTTCACCAATTTTAAAGCATGTAAATTTTTGCCTTATTCATAACTAAAAATATTGGATATTGTTATGTTATTTCACTACTAAAGAATCAATCTTTCTCCCGTCCCTTTACAAGGACAGCAGCATCTTTTGAACTTTTCATCATGATTATGATGTTCACAGATTATGAGACCCCTCAAGTTGAAAGGACGTTTTAAATGTTCTCAATGCTTCTTCCCCAGTGAAAATTTCTTTAATTTTCTTATTAATTTGAAGACTGTATTTAACACAGCTGGGGCTTAAAAAAAAGAACAGAAGTATAATCTTTGAGGTGTTCATATAAATGAAACATTTATTCAGACACTTGATAGATGATCAATTGTGAATAATCAACTCCATAGGTTCTCATGATTTACAGGTATGCATTGTTTTTTTCTTTTTCTTCTGTGAATCATGGGAGGTTTACTTTCAAAGAGGTATTAACCAGGTTTCCTACTAAGTGATAAATAGGTGCTAGGAGATGTAAACCTAATAATTGAAATAGACTGAGGACTAACAGCTTCTATTCAGTATCTAACTTGAATATCTGTGCTAATAGGAAAATTATATTCATTTATCTGTAGCTGCATCTAGAATTATGTATTTCTATCAAACTTTTTCATATATTTTTATCGAAAAAATATTTTTTACAATTTAAATAATTATCCTTGTAGTTATTGTAGTTTATTTAATTATTTCTATATCTTTAAAAATATTCTAAAACCAATTTCTGGTGCTAAATTGCGTTATGAGGGTACCCTTCCCGTAAACTGATAATTTTTTCGGTTCCAAGATTGTCCACTTAACCGAGGTTTTACTGTTTTACATTTAATATTTCCTAAGAGCAGAATTGGCTATTTTCTAAGAGCAGAATTGGAAAACCAATTTCTGGTGCTAAATTTCGTTATGAGGGTACCCTTCCCGTAAACTGATAATTTTTTCGGTTCCAAGATTGTCCACTTAACCGAGGTTTTACTGTTTTACATTTAATATTTCCTAAGAGCAGAATTGGCTATGATCAATGTCAAACATGTAAGTCTCCTACATAAACATTTTTTCTTTTTTTTTTTCCTTGCTAAAATTTCAGGTATTTTTTCATGAAGCCACATGTTGCCAATTTTTACTTTTGTAATTTAGTTCTTATGTTTGTTGCAAGCTATTGATATTTTTGTGTGGATAATTTTTTACTTAATAGAACATTGAATTTTTGAATTGTATTTATTTCTCAAGAAGTAATCTCCTCATTTTTATGCTTATTAGCTTCAGATTGATGGGTAACCAGCTCCACAATCAAAATCAAAAGAGAATCTAATCTAAAAATCAAAAGAGCTTTATAACTTTTCACTGTCTTAGTTTTTTTACCCTTATAAAATAATTTTCAATTTCATAATTTTTTAGGCAACTATTTTCATTGGGTCATACAGGAATTAATTTTGAAAAATATGAAGACATCCCAGTGGAAGCTAGTGGTGAAGACTGTCCACCACACATTAACTCAGTAAGTAAAATCGTTTTTATTTTCATGATTGCTTTGTCTAATAGATATATAAACTAATGATATGTAAGTCTCCTATTCAATAATTAATTATATATTTTATCTTGTAATAAGATTTTGACTGTTATTCTTTGGCCATTTTCTTCTCCATGTAACGCAAATGTGGGTGAGTTCCCAGGCTTGCCACTCTACATGGAGAACAGGGAAAACCTGGAAAATACAGGGAATTTAAAAATCACCTAAAATAACAGGGAAAATGCAGGGAATTTTGATTTTTTCCTTGCAAACTGGGAAAAAACAGGGAATTTTGTTTCTTATTTTTGTCTTTTAAAAAATGGTACCCACTCAAAGCGTAATCAATGGGATATTTAGCCATGATATTTCAGCTATACTAAACTATTTCACTTACTATAACATTATTTAAATATGTTCAGCTGTTTTCCCACCAATTAAAACTAATAAATATAGTTAGCCCTATATAGCTCACAAAAGAGCACAGTAATTGTTGTTTCCGTTTAATATATTGTGTATAATAGTACAGGGAAAACACAGGGAATTTTTTTTCCAGATTTGAGTGGCAACCCTTCCATCAAAAAGTCCTCCATGAAGGCAAATTTCTCCCAATACTTGATCCAGGAGTTCCCTTGCCTTCTGGATTGAGTTCAAAATGACTAGGCTACAAAGTTGAACATTAGTAGCCTAAAATTGGGCCGTTCTGATTTAACTTTAAATTTTCTAATACTAAAAGATTTTGCCAGAGAACTATTTTTAGCACTTATGTTTACTTCAATATAAAGATCCTAATTTTCCCTGTCTCAAAAGGTATTAAATACTAAATGCTGAAGGTACTAAAATGTTGAAATTCCTACACAGCTTGTGAATTTAATTGTTAAAAAAGTAGTGATTAAATTTGTTCTAATAATTTTTGCAATGTTTGAGGTAGACTAACTTTTTCGTTGGTAGACCTCTAACTTAACTCTTTTTTCTTTAACTTAATGAGTCTGTGACTCATATTGATCCTTTTTATTTATGAACAAATTTTTATTTTTGCAAAGGTTGTTTTTTTTTCTTCTTTTTTTGCTGTGATTAAATTATATTTTTTAATAAAATTCATATTAGAAATAAATTACATAATTCAACAATAAAAATAATCATACGTGACAAAATTTAGTTTCACAACCTGACTTTAAAGAGATTTATGTAACAATATTTGGGGTGCCAAATACATTTAATTATATTACAACTTTGAAATTTTAAAAAAACTCTCGTTGAAATATGAAAACATTGAATGGTAATGTTTGACATTTTAATGAAAATTCTCTCTACCCTTTCTACATTGATGTACAGTGCACAAAAAGAAAAAGTTATCAATCTGAATAAGTGTCAATCTTAATGGTTTCTGGTGGTGACTATAAATATGCTAATTATTAAGTTATGAAATTAGACACAAAATGTACTTTCTCTCAATAAACTTATACAGGGTGTCCCAAAAGGTCGTTTACAAACTTAACATGTTGGTCTGTCATATATATCATGATGAACAAGATTTACATAGGAACTTGTGTCCGAAAATTAAAACTGCGGCCGCTAGAGGGCGATAATTGCACGAAAACGGGAGAGTGGGAAAAACAATCATTTCAGGCGTGGACGTTGAAGGAGAGGGATGAATGAGTTTAGTAACGCAGAAATGACCGACATGCATTACGTATACGGCGCCGCTGATAGAAATGGACGAGCCGCGTCACGGACGTACCTTGAGCGCATCCCAAACAGACGTCAGCCAAGTCATGTTTTGTTTGGACGATTGCACTCCAGATTATGTGAATCAGGTGCTTTCGTAGCACGTAGCCACATCGGTCGAGAACGTGCTACACGCACACCTGTCGTAGAGGAAACCGTGCTACAGGAGTATGCCATCAACCCGCAAAGAAGCCTCCGAGAAGGCGAACGTGTCTTGGATGTAGCTCGTTCCACCATAATGCGCATACTGCACGATGACATGCAACACCCTTACCACTTCCAAAAAGTACAGGCATTGTGCGCTGACGATTATCCCAAACGCATTGCATTCTCACGCTGGTATTTGCAACAGCGGGTCGCACAGCCAGATTTTCCATCATGGATTTTGTTTTCTGATGAATCCTGCTTTACACGGGATGGTGTCGTGAACCTGCACAACATGCACGTATGGGCGCATGAAAACCCAAGATGTACACGTGCCCATGCACATCAACAACGTTTCAGCGTAAACGTTTGGGCTGGTATTATCGGTGACATGTTGATTGGCCCTTACCTTCTACCTGAACGCCTCGACGGAAATACCTATCGCATTTTTTTAGAAAGAGTTTTGCCGGATCTGATGGGTGACGTTCCAGCCGCTACACGCCGAAACATCTGGTTTCAGCATGATGGAGCGCCTGCCCACTTTAGCTACGCTGTTCGAGAATACCTCGATAGGATTTATCCTGATCGCTGGATCGGTAGAGGCGGACCAATCCCATGGCCGCTGCGATCCCCCGACCTGACTCCCCTGGCTTTCTATCTGTGAGGACACATGAAGTCCATAGTGTACAAGACACCTGTAACATCGGACATGGATCTTATTGCCAGGATCGTGGAAGCGACAGCACGTGTCCGTGACACTCCTGGCCAATTTGAACGGGTTCGTGAATCCATGCACCGACGCTGTGAAACGTGCATTGTGGCGAATGGAAAGAAATTTTGAGCATTTGCTGTGATGTAATTATGTTTTATAATAAAAATCATATTAACACCGCTATCGATATCATTTTTTTTCTCTTCATCCAAACCTGCACTTATCGCCCTCTAGCGGTCTCAGTTTTAATTTTCGGACACAAGTTCCTATGTAAATCTTGTTCCTCATGATATGACAGACCAGCATGTTAAGTTTGTAAACGACCTTTTGGGACACCCTGTATATATGTATATATTTGACCTTCAAATTATTATGGGGAAGCCGAAATTGTCTCCCTAATAGTTTATACAGGAGAGCAGATCCCCTTAATGTTAATTTCACTTTTTGCCTTTTTAGTCATATCTTTAAAACTAATTCAGCAATTTCAAAAAAATTTCACCCACTCATGAAACACATTTACTCTGATAATTTTATGCAAACAATATTTTTTAATAATTATTTGTTTAATTTAATTGTGGATGAAAAAATTTTGAATTATGAGCCATAAATATTTTTATATAAGTCTACGTATTTTTCTATCATAAAATCTTAAGTTTCAACTGTTTTTATTTTGTAGAAATCAAGAAAAATTAAAATATTTTTAAAAAAATAATCTGGCAACAATGTAGGAATATTGAAATGGGGCGATTATGAAGAGTTTGAGTGTTTTCTTGTTTGATTTTGTAATTTAGTATCGTCTGCACTTATAATAAGCATTTTTAAAGTTATCCCTCAGAAACATTCAAGTTAAGTCTAATAACTTGAAGATCTGGTCATTAGATCAAAAATTATTTTGGATTGTCCTTTTTTTTTTATCCTACGCTATACATGAAAAAGTGAAAATTGTTTGTAGGTTTGTCTATTTTTATGAAAACATTTTTAATATTTTTCTTTTAATTTATTATTTAATTTCAGTTTTCAGAGTTGCCTTTGACAGAAATAATTCGCATGAATATAGACTTAACTCGGTATACCTCTCCCACACCTGTTCAGAAGTATGCAATGCCAATTATACTCTCAAAGAGAGACCTAATGGCTTGTGCGCAAACAGGTAATTATTTCCTTTCAATCTTGATTTTTCTAACCTAATGTTTATAGATATTTATTGCTTTTTTTTGCCATAACATTAAACTTATCTAAAAATGGTACTTACCATCTAAAAATTGTATTTACCATCTAAAAATTATTTTGCCTGTTTTTTATAGATATAAAATATAAAAAGTAATGCTTGCTGTCGGTAAAGCATAGCAAATAGTTGAAATATGACTACTGTGAAAGATATATGAATACTTGACAACTCCTGAATTTTCTGGAAGATTTTACATTTAAAGTGGTAGCAAAATTTATACATTCACACATTTTTTTTTTCAGTGAATGTGATTTAAAATAATTTTGACTACCATTACATTCAAATATTTGAAACATATATATTGTAGACTCTTGTGTTGTAGCTCTTTCACTAAAATGTTTGCTTTATTTTAATGAAATGCCACCTTATCTGAATTGAAGCGATATTTCCTTACTGCTAATAAAAAAAATTTTGAAAAGAGTAAAAGTTTGCAAATATGCATGTAGGGGTGTTTACATTTCATAGTGTTTTTACGAAGTTTAATTTCTACATTGTTTAGACTGTGTTTTCCCTAGGAATAAAAAAGGGCCAGGTGCTTCCCCACGAAAAGGGCACCTAGTTTTGAAGGGGCACTTACTTTACACCATAAAAATCAAAATGTCTTATATTATGTAATAACTGAATTTGATCCTAAACAATTTTTAAATTACCCTACTATATTATTTTCAAAAGTGGTTGGATTCTCATTCATTATCAAAATAAGAGAAAAATTTGTAGTTTATAAAAAATAAAGGCATGCTAAAAGTTAATCTCTAAGCAAAAGATGTTTTCCAAAAATGTGAACTAAGAAAAAAGAAATGATTGATGAACAACTTAAAATCTTTTTTCTGAAATTAATGAGAAAATGAAAATTTTTTTTTAAATTTCTTATTTGAAAATTAATTATGAAATTTAAAAACATTTAAAAATTGTTTAATATACCCTTCTCCAAAAAAAAAAAGAAAGAAACTTGGTGAGAATACAAAGTAAAAGTTGAAAATAGAAAGTATTTTTAATAGTAATGAGAATTAAACCTATAAACACAGATAATATTTTCAGGGAATAATTAGTATTTTGACAGTGAATTATTTTTGGAGAAAATGGAGTATGAATAAAAAGGCAGTGTTTTTAAGGGATGGTGGTTTATTTTTGCAAAGAGGGCACACTTATAGGAATCAAATGGCAGGCAAGACAAGCTGTTTTTCAAAACACTCATAAGAAAAACACTGGTTTAGGTCACAAAAGATCCAGAACACTTTTGAAAGGCTACTATTTCTAAATAGATGGTTTTCTTTCTGGAACAAGAATTATATCACAGAGCAATATGTGAGAGAATGTTTGTGAATCTTCAAACTAGCTATAAAAGAACATTAACAATTTGACTGCTTTTAAAGCATATATAGTTAATTTTAGTCAAGTTCATTTTTAATTAAAATCTTAATTTTTTGTAGAATCACCAAGATAGATAAATCTTGATGTAGAAATAAATAAATCATCATTTGGAATCGTTATCTCAGATCCTAAACAAAAATATTTTTGCCATATCAAGCATTTTATCATACTCCTGTTTATTGGTTTTTGGCAAATGTTAGGAAGTAGAATAACAGCTGTTTTGTAATCACTATAATACATATAAAAATATTATGTATTTTTCTAAATGCCTTAAATTGGTTATTAAAATTCAGTTGTTCTATTTTATTGCTTGCTGCAAAATATTAAAATATGTTGCTACAATATATGTCATTCCATAAACATCTAAAATTTTGCTGTTATAAATTGAAGTGAGCCACTTTCTGTTTCTGCAGAGCAAAATCTGCAGTTTCTGCAGAGGCTCAGTGCTATTCATTGTGATGGAACCAGTCGCAATTTGAAGCCCACTAAGCTTCAGATTGTTAGGTACCAGCTTGCACGTGAAGTAAAGGTAGCAGGTGTGCGATGCTGACGCATTGACACTATCTTCCCATTTTTAATTAAATTGAGAAATCCCCACTCTATGCCCCCTTTATCTGCATTGGCATGTTGTGAGAAGTTTATTCTTTTCTATTGTTTTAGATAGATTTGTATAATTCCAAACCATTAAAATTGCTTTATCTGCTTAAGATATTTTATGAATTTGTCTAAGTTATCAACCACAGTTTTACATTTTAAAAATAAATTTGCTTCACTGATTTGTATCCAAATATAATAAATTGGAATTCAAGAATTCTAAATAAATGCCTAAACTTATTTTACTACTATTTGTTGTAAATTTTTTAATTAAGTGAACATTTTTATTTGAATTTAAAATTATAATTTATTTGTAATTTTTGTTTAGGTTCCGGCAAAACTGCTGCATTTTTAATACCGATTTTGAATCAAATTTTTGAAAATGGCCCAGCAAAAAATATTCCAATGGTAAGTAAATCAGAAGAGAGCTTAGAAAAGAAAGCCATTAAGTAACCTTAATTAAAACTATTTCTGTAGATTATTTATCATGTTTTTAATAAGCTTATGGCTTGTTTAAAAAAGTTATATCATTTTATAGAAATTATGTTTCGCTTGTTGATCAAAAACTTTTTTAATTTTTTTTTTATTTCTAAGAATATGGAGGTAAAATCTATAATGTTGCTGTTCACATAATGTTGTCATTTACAGAAGGAAATGTGTTGAATGGAAGTCTTGCGTTTTTATCTATAAATATTAAACTGTAATACTCTATATTTGAAGAATTAAAATTGGTGTACGAGCAAAGCAAATGTCAGGCTCACCACCTATGAAAAGAAAGTACTTACTGATTGATTCATATTTTTCCATTCAAGAAAGCTCCTCCCAAATGCAATACTTGTAATTCATGTGCCCATGTTTTTACTAACATTATCTTACTTTTTTTCAGTAGTTTTATTTAATGTAGGTGAGATTTGTTTGAAAGAACACAACTTTTTTGCTTTTCTATGTTTTCTCAGCATTACTACCTGTGTATAACTATTTTATCGCATTGACAGATTTTATCTGTTTCTGGATGCATTTGTTTCATTGTGCACTATTTTATCAGTTTTAAGTATTTTTATTAAGGCACCTTTTTAATATATATTTTGACCATCTTATTTAAAACTTTTTTTTTTTTTTGCTGTCATCCTTTTTTTAGGTTCTTTTGCCATTATCTCCTACATTAAGTTTAAGAATAAATTTAAATTCTTCAGCTAATTTCTTCTCATGATTGTTATAATTATGGCCACAATTTGTGAGAAATTTAAACTTATGAGTCTGCCAAATATTTTTGTTTTACTCGAAAGTTTTATTTGCTGCAAAGAAAAATTTTTTTCTTTAGTCAAAGTAAGAAAGTTTACCGAATTTTAGAGGAATATAAAAATTTAAAAAAATCTTATTGTATTAGATTAAAATTTATGCAAAGTGAAAATATAGGATTTTAAACTTAAAACTACTATTAATGTATATAAACTTTATTTTACTCATGTTTCAGCCTCCAAGACATAGTTCCCGAATGAAGCAATATCCTCTTTCTCTTATTCTTTCACCGACTCGAGAATTGGCAAGCCAAATCCATGATGAAGCAATAAAGTTTTCATATAGATCAAAGTGTCGTCCATGTGTAGTCTATGGTGGTGCTGACCCAGCACAACAGATGAAGGATTTGGATCGTGGATGCCATTTGCTTGTAGCAACTCCGGGACGATTAGTGGATATGATCGAACGAGGGAAAATAAGTTTGGAAATGGTCAGGTATGTTTTAAAAAGAAAAATAATTTTGATCTTTCCAGCTATTGATTTTTAAAAGATACTAAGCTATTTATCTTGAAAAGATATGAATATTTAAAAAAAAATTTTAAAGAGAAACTAATTTTTGATAAGAACTAATGTTATATAGCTAAAATTTTATTTGAAAGAGACATACGTTTTTTTTTTTTTTTTTTTTTTTTTTTTTTTTTTCAGAACTATTTGATCATTAAAAAATCTACTGTTTTGAGGCTGAGCATTCATATAGATTTGAAAAATTGTTCTTTAATTTAACTCAAATCTAAGCAAGTTATTATTACCAAAAAAGGACTTAAAAAACCAGCTATTAGTGCTAGAAAAATGCTCAATCTTAATATTGCTCATAAATTCTGTTGATATAGTTTTAATTTTTCTAGAATAACGTAATGATGATATGTTGAAAAAATAAAATTAATATTCATTCACAAAATCTGAATCTTTTTCAATTTAGAATATTTAATATGAAGAGGACAAATATTAGTTTTTGTATAAATTTAAGTGTGCTCTTAATCTCTTCAGCTTTCAAGTTGGCATTAGATCAACTGTATACTTGAGGAAAAATCCTGTTTCTACATAATGTCAATATTTAAGTTAAAATATTATAACTCAATGCTTAAAATATTTTGTTAAAAAATACAATTTATTTTAAAACTTAAATAATAATTTATGCATTACTTTTTGATACTTAGGGACTATTCTCACAGCACCAGGTATTTAATGCACTTTAACTCCCACCAATTGTTGTTAGGGTTAAACTGCACAATTTGAAACTCGTCCAAAACAAATCTTTTGAACCACACTGCTCCAAAAAGCCTTTTATATATCAAAATTGTTCTAATATCTGTTAAGCAGAAAATAAAACTTTAGCGTTGCTAGGTGGGGGTGGTTAAAAAAAGTTTTTGCATTAAATGTAGACTATTGCATGTATTTGGCTAACTGGTTATTCAGTCATCCCTCTCTGTCAAATTTAGCATGTCAAATAGTGATTACTAAAATGGGAACTTTGCTTGCCATAATATTATGAAAGTAACATAATTTGAATGTACTCATGTCAAAATAACATCATATTAAATATTTGTTGTGGAATTTTCCAAAAAATAAAGAATGGTTGTTAAATAATGTGGAAATTACAGTAGAATCGGGCCCTTAAGAAAATAATTTCAAATAGGTCCTTAAAAAGTAGGCGTTACTCAAATCAGAATAATTTATGTATTGCAACAATATTCTATTAAAAATATTGCAATTTAAAAATAAAAAACATTTGAAAATGGGCAAAAGAAATTAGAAAATGATTAGGATATTTGAACTTTTGGAAAAATATTCAAATTCACAGCAAGTTTAGTTTCAACAATTTCTTATAAAAATTGATAAAAATTCCTGAAATGGTTTACATAATCTATGAATGTTTATTCTATTGAATTATTTTAAAAATTTGTATTAGCATGCTTTTTGTTAGAAAATTTTTACATTTTGAGAATTCTGCACTTTGAATGCACACAGTTTAATGAATGTCAAAAAATCTTTAGAGGATGTGTATTTTACTTGAAAAACTATTAACTTATTTAAAACATAATAAGAGTACTAAATTTGTATTTAATTGTTTTTTTTTAAATCTTAGTCTTTTCTCTCCTTCCAGGTACTTAGTTCTTGATGAAGCTGACAGAATGCTTGATATGGGTTTTGAACCTCAAATTAGACGCATTGTTCTTGAGGATAAAATGCCTGGAATTGGAGAACGTCAGACATTGATGTTTTCTGCAACTTTTCCTAAAAAAGTCCAGGTATTTATGTTTTCTTCAAAAGCTCTAAAGTCTATACTTATTTTATGTTCTTTTATTTAGGGGTTGGTGTTAGGAAAAGTCATTGATGTTAAGAAAAAGGTTTTTGATTCAGTATAATTTATGAGTGTATTCTTAATGTAGCAATTATTGACTTTTTTAAAATTTGATTTCATTAATAATGGTTTTGCCTTGAGAATTAATAATATGGTAATAAAATTTATAAGAGGTAACATGTTCAATTGATTAAAATGAAAAGGATAAATATGGGTAAAAGTGAAGGGAAATTTTTCAATTATGATTTTTTTGTTAGCTGTATGTAAAATAATTTGCTATTTAGCTTAATATATTTAAATTATAATTTATGTTGATGTTGAGCTGGAATAAAAACAACTTTGGTTTTGTTTATTCAGCAATTTGTTATAACTGAACAATTTTAACCATTTTAATTGGAAATATTAAGTGTTTCAGTCAAAATATTGTGTTTAAATAATGCACATTATCAAGGCTTTGATTGGTAAGTGTATATATATGTACTGCTAAGTGTTCTAAATTATAAATACAAAGAAAATGATATTTTCTCTTTAGGAGAGGTGAAATACTAAGGATTTTTGAAGGTTTCTTCATTGCGCTAATGACCTTCTCTGGCAGAATTTCCTTCTAATAATCTTCCTTTTTGTTCAAAGACTTTTTTTTCTCGATACGTTACGCTTATTTGAAATTCTTCTGTTCTAAATTTGTTATCCTTAATACTTAATTGTACATTATCTTAATTATATGAATATAGATGATTAATATTCTTTATCTCTGTTTAATTTTCTTTGTGATTATATTGCTAATAAGCTAAATTCAGATTCGCTTATATTCTTAAACTATGAATATTATATCACTTTTTGTATAAACACAATTTACGATAAGTATTTGCGTGATTTATGACTCATCACATTCCATATTTTTTTCTTTTTTGTTCACAATTCTTACTGACCTGATTTACAAACTACAATCGCAATTTGATCTTGACTTTTAGGTCTCACATGCGATTTTCCGGTTTTTGTATTAACCATATTTTGTGCAATGCACCAAAAAATAAGCTGATCACCCTGTTTAACTTTTGATCTAATTATCATATCTTTTAGGGCTGAATCTTAAAGATTTGAAGAGGTGGCCTCAAATTTGCTAATTAATTAGGGCAGACCATATTTTAAGTTAGGGAATCGGATGCAAAATATATTTTTTCTGAGTTAACACACTTTTCTTTAGACAGAATCTGCTTTTTGGCCTCCAAAATATGATCCCAATAGTTCAATCAGAGAGAGCAGTCCACAGTTCAGACCCTTAATGTTAATTTTGCTTTTAGTGTATTTCACCGTAGCGAGAACCTATTAAGCAAATTGAAAAATTTTTGCAGTTAATATTTATTACTTTATTTAATAATTGTCACACAAATTTTAATTATCAAGTATACAATTTTTGCATTGTTTTCAAGAGTGTAATAATATGGGGAACAGAAAAATAGAGAAAAGCAGTTACTCAAAATATTGTGGAAATGATTTGCATATAATTTAGTATCTAAAAGATATAGTTGCTATAAAAAATGTTGAGGCATGGATTACAGAGTTAGGACTAAACTCCAATACTGAAGGTATTAAGCTCTAATTGGATGCTTGTGCTATTAAAATAGATGAAATCTGGAAAGTCCAGCTACAAAATTTTTAATCAGAAAAGATTGACTTTGAAACTTGAGCAGAGGAAATTTTGAAGAAGCAACTGATAATTAAAAGACCTTCTTACTTTTTACTATAACTTTAAAAAATTTATTGTTTGAAATTTAATTTAAAACAATGGTTTTTAATTAAAATGTTGAGGTAAAAATAAAAGATTAGAAGAGATTAATTAACAAATTAGTCTACCCCAATTTATAAAACTGTGTAAACTATTTGTTGTAATATGTATAAATAAGGTTCTTATATTTGCATTTAATATGACTAATTTATTTATATGCCATACAAAATATGTATTCTAAGTTTTACATATCAGTGGATATTTAATACATTACCTCTAAGATTTTTGGAGAATGTCTCTAAAATACTCTCAAATTTAAAGGAAAAAACTCCACTCCTGAATTATTGAAATCAGAGTTTGCAAGATTTAGGACAGAATGGATTAATCCACAGTTTAAACCAGGGTTTAAACTGTCCTGTTCAAAGCTATCTTAAACTGTCCAAAACCTATTTACTCAAATTATGTCACATTTAAAAAAGAAATATATATATATTGTGAAAAATAAAATTTTAACTTTTAATCAAGAAATGAAATGAAGACAAGTTTTTGTTTTATTAAAAAAGTTTATTATTATCTTTAATATTGCATTATTTTTCCTTATGTAAAAGCATAATTTATCAATATTAAAAGCATGTTTAAAGGTTAGGATATTCAAAGGTATTCACTTTTGTTGTTCAATGAATTGTGGAGCTTCAAAAATTATAAATATTTTCCTTTAATAAGTTGAAGCAAACAGTATATAAAAAGTATCAAATATTTATTAATATATGAAATTATTATGTAATGTATATATGGTAACCTTTTAACAAAGTTCAAGGTTTTGAACACTTTAAGACATTTTAGGACAATTTAAGTCAGTTTATGACAGTAAAACCTATGTGTCCTGTCCAAAACCAGTTAAGGACATCCAAAACCCCAACCCTGATTGAAATACTCTAATTAAAACCATAAAGTTTGTTTAAGAAATCATCAGTTTGGCTTTCAGAAAGAATAGCTATTTCAGAATTCAATGAATAATGAAATTTTAAAACAGCTATTCATAATATACATACCTTTTAACATTTTAGTTTTTTGTTGAATCTTTTTATTTCAGTGGTAAAACAGAAGCAAAAGAATTCTTTACTTTTATTCCCAGTGGAAAAACGTTTTTCTCCCGGGAATTTGAAATTCTGCAGTAGATGAACTGAAATTCTGTAGATTATATGTAGAAAGGTCATTCATCAATTTTCATTTATGAAGTTTTATATAAGGTTGCTTTTTTCCTTACGTCCACCACAGATCATTATCGATACAGTGTTGTAAATTATAATAAGTATTGTTAATATTTTATCTTTTTTGCATCTTTGTATGTCTGCTTAAACTTTTGCACAGTGATGTTTCTGAAAAATTTTTTTTTTGACACAGGAGTTGGCGAGGAAATTCTTGGATAATTATATCTTCTTGGCTGTAGGACGTGTAGGAAGTACATCAGAAAATATAACGCAAAAGGTGGTGTGGGTTGAAGAGCATGACAAAAGATCATTTCTTTTAGATCTACTGAATGCTGCTGGTTTAAAAAATGGCAATGCAGGTAATTGTTATTTTTTTTTATATAATCATGTTGTTTATTTAAATGATTTTAATGATACTTATAAGGCTTAATACTGTTTAATGTTGTTGAATGCTTTTCCATGATATTGAAAAAAATGTCTTGAAAATGTAAGACTAATTAAAATAGTCATAAAATTTCATTTAATAGATATTTCCATTATCGAAATTAAAGAAAAAAAATACCATAGAATTCTTATTATTATAGCCTCTACTATATCTAAAAAAAAAAATTTACCCTATTTTTAGATTCATATTACCCTATTTTTAGATCTATACTCAAAAAATATAAGAAGTGCCACATTGCCCCTTTCTAACTTTCTAGGAAAGCAGTAATATTCAGTCTTTCTAGTGTTAAACTCTACACTTAACCAACCATCGAATAGAAAAATCAACGTACAACTAATTTTCTGAAGTGCGAACAGGTAGTTGAATCTGGCCACAGTACCAAGAAGCAAGCAAATTCTTGCTCTTTTTCTTTTTTTAATATTTTATGTAATGTAAATTGTCTACACAAATAAGTTTGTATTCCTGTTTTTTCTTTGGCTAGATTTACTTAGCCCACTCCATAGATTATAATCCTTTTTAATTTCTAATAGAGTTCAAAATACAAAAGTATAAACAAATAACAATGAAAATAATTGGGAAGATGGCAAAAGACATTGCCTTAAAAGTTCTTTATCATGTGAGTAGAGTGCCATTTTAACAACTGCAAGAACTGATTAACAATTATGGAGGTAGTCTCCATTCACTAAATAGACTCTTTGGTGGCACAGGTCTCAATCATGATCCATCCCTGGGCAACATTTGTACAACTGCAAAGTGGTCTACAGTTTTCAGCTTGTTCTTCTGTCGTCATTGTTGTAAAGTTTCAATGGTTGATCTTAATGTTCTGCAATGAAATATTAGTGGTGTGTTACAAAAAGAAAAATTATGTCTTATTTATAGTAAAATTATTAGAACATTATTTTGATTTTTTTTTTTTTTTAAGATACTAAAAAAAATGGAAAATACAATAAGCAGCATTATACGTGTTTGATTTAGATATTTGGATAAGAAAGTTTTTAAAAAAAACTTCAAGCATTATTATTAGGCTTAATAAACGTTCACTTTTGTCCAAGTAAAAAAAATCTTCTTTCTTTAATCTTTTTTCTATAAAGTAAAAAAAATCTTCATTACTGGTACAAAATATTTCATAAAATCTAAACTGTAAAATCCAGTCTCATTTTGTTGAATTATAAAATATGTTATTTTACCTTTAAAATTTTTTTTATTTCAGTTTATATTAAAATATATAATTTGTGATTTCCTTTTAGCTCGAGATTCTCTAACTTTAACATTTGTTGAAACAAAAAAAGGAGCTGATGCATTGGAACATTTTCTTATGAGTGAAGGCTACCCTGTGACAAGTATCCATGGGGATCGAACCCAGAGAGAACGAGAAGAAGCTCTTTGGAATTTCCGAACTGGGGCAACTACAGTTTTGGTTGCAACAGCGGTATGTTTTTAATGTATCTTATATGAAAAGAAAAAAAAATTTCTAGGAGCTTGTATGGTATATAGATAATAAAAAATCAGCTGCTGTCTTGCTATCATAAGAACTCAAGACACCAGACAGAAATGGTGACAGTTACTGTAATTACGAAAATAAGTTACCTTCATTGAGGGTATCTTTTTAGTCATTCAAGGGTATCTTGATTTAATCTAGGCAGATAAGTAAAAAAAAAAAAAAACTAATTTCTTAAACACTTCTGAACAACTCTTAAAAGTAGAGATGAGATTCGAAAAAAGCTTAAAATCCGTTAATAGTTGCCAAAAAAAATTATGAATAATTTTGGATAATATAGTTAGTTTCTTCAGAAGTAGGTGGAAAAGAATAAATAATTTGATATAAAACTAAATTATCCAAAATATAGAAGTATTATCCAAGCATTTAAAAATCTGTCAAATTGGCTTAAAGTACCAACCGACTAATTTAATTTTTTAATTGATTTAATGTATTTTTGTCTTATGTATAACTCTTTTGAATTTGATATTAAAGTGTTTAATGTTTTAGGTCTTGAATTTTTGCAGAATAATTTCCCATGGGGGGGGGGAAAGGAAATTAATGCAGTTAAGCCACGAATCCTTACAAATTTAAAATTATATACAAGACTTTTTTTTTATATTTTTAGTATTATTATCTGAAAATCAAACTTTTCCATTTTAGTTTCAAAATTATAGGAACTATTATCTTGCTAATCGTTATTTTTTATTTAATAATTTTGGTTAACTTTTAGGTTGCTGCTCGAGGTCTGGATATTCCGAATGTGAAGCATGTAATCAATTTTGATTTACCTAGTGATGTTGAAGAGTATGTACATCGTATAGGAAGAACAGGGCGTGTAGGAACTGTTGGTAAGATATGTTGGGAGAGTGTACTAAATTAAGCAACTTATATCTATCATATCAAAAAACATGAATTTGTCTTTTTTTGATTATCATTATTAAGCAATATCTTATCAACAAAGATCTGACTTGTATGATTTATACATTGTTGCCAGTTCTACTGAATTTTGCTAGCTTCTCCTGAATTCATCAAAATACTTTTCTTTTTTTAAAGGAAGTTTCTGAAAAGTTAGTTTTTACTAAATTTATTATTTTCTCAGATATTTCTTTAAATAATAGTTTAAAGGATCTTCGAAACTTCTGTTGAATCAAATGAAAGGATTACAGTCACTATGTTGGAATTACTGATTCATAAAGGGGCATTAGGATATCATTGTGTCAGTGGCATAGCAATCAGGAGTGAATGTATCATCCTTATAATTAAAGCGTCATTGAAACAAGAGGTCACACTGATGAGCATGGATTGTACTTGAAATAGTGGGCATAGAATTTCTTATTCCGTTAATTCTGTTTCATTCTGTCAAACTGGCAGCAATGTTATGTTGTTTTTTTCCATAATAACTCTAAACTTAGTATTTAATTACAATATATAAATCTATATATATTCAGCATCAACAGAATTGTGATTTATAAATGCAAGCCTGTCATTTAGCCCAAATGCACTTTACTACATTTAAAAATAGAGTAAGTAGGGAACCCACAACTTTGAGGTATTTTTATATCAGGCTTAATTTATAATACTGTTTGATTTTGTTATATTAAGTACATCATATGCTTGATTACCTGCTCTTGCTTGTGCCATTAAGCTGTACATTTAATTGAAACTTGCATTGTTTCAAAGTACTAAATGATACTATTAAACTACTTGAATGGAATTCCTACTTCATCCATGGGCATTTGAAATGTACATGTTCTGTACGACTTTTTTATTAACTCATGATTGTAAGATATACTTTTCCCTCATAATTAACTGGTACCTGTTGCCCTAGTTTTATTAAAATAAAAGGTAGGGAATTAAAATTGTCTAAATAATGCTTCTTAAATTGTTGATTAGAATGTAGATAATAGCACCCAAGTTATAGTATTCAAATGCTCCAACGTCAAATTCAAAACTGTTAGTTTAAACCACCAATTACTATCTTTTTTTTTAATATATATACTAAACTTTAGTGGAAATTTTAAAAACCTGAAACAAAATTGTTTTTACCTTTTTTTGCATTTTCTTGGCATTCAAGTGGCAGGATAATGACATTTGTAAATATTTAAAAAAACATTTCTTCTTTAAAACTTTTATATTGTTAACAGCATGCTTTTTTATTAGAGCTCAGGCTGACTAATTTAGTATTGTTATTAATGATTTAAAGAAGACTGGAAAGTGACAACATAAAAGCCAATTTGCTTTTTTTAAATCTCTTAGAATGAATTTTTCTCTAAAACTTTTATCAGTTCTAGCTGAACGATAGGTTTTGACAAGATGGCTTACCAATTATATTTTTAAACCAGAATGATTTAACGCTAGCATCATCTTCGTAGGTTATAAAAAAATTAATGGCCAGGAAAATGACATATTTGTGTGGCTAAACAAATTGACTGAAGAAACTTATTTATACAATATAAAGTGAATTACTTGATTGCATGTAAATAAAATTACCTTATCTGTTAAAAGTAAAATATTAAATTGCCTTAATACTTTATTTTTGTAAAATATTTTGTGTAATCATTTCTTGTGCGTATAGTCTAGAAATGCTTTTATCAATTTAGATGTAAAAAATTAGAGAAAATATTCCGGAGTTTTATTGTAAATATTATTTGTGACATGCCAGGAAAATGACAGTTTGAAACTCAACATGTATTATTAAACAAAGATAATTGTTAAGAAAATAACAAACTAGTGTAAAATCATTTTAAGAAACTAATATGAATCATGATGGTATTAAAGTTTTGAAATATAAGTTTCGTATTGTATAAGATTAAATTTCATCATCCTTTTTTTTTATATATATGTGATTGGAAAAAATTAAGCAGAACTAATAAAAGTAATAGATTGCTATAGTGATAAAGGAATGAAAGTAATCAGGCTTTTGTTCTATTACCAGATTCATAAAGTTTCTATATTTAATTAGAACTTCATATTTTTTTTAAATTCCATTTCTTTCAGATGAAAGATGTTAAATAAGTAAAAAAAATCCTTTTAAACTTTACATTAGTTAAAAGTACTTCTTTTCAGGATTGGCTACTTCATTTTTTAATGAAAAGAATCGCAATATGGCCAGCGACCTTGTGGAATTAATTACTGAAACTCGTCAAGAATTACCTGAGTGGCTGTCAATTTTGGCTAAGGAAGTGCAAGTTGAACAGCGATGTAACACTGGTTCAAGAAAATTTTCAAGTAGCAAAAAGTATGTTGTACTTTTTTCTATTTATTGAAAAGCATTTAAAATAGACCAGTGGAACAGATTTACTAAATTTTTATATCTATTGGCAAACAATGTTGATCTTAGAAGTTTATAAATTTGGGATTGTAAATACGTTTTGTTTTTATTTTTTGTATTCTACTCGTTTAGTTGCTACTATGTTTTAAAAATTTATTAAGATCTAAATTTTTTTAATTACAAGTTATCAGTTGTATGGTAGTGAATACTTGTTATACTTGTAAACATAACATTAACAAAAACAGCTGAAGATAGACTTTTAATATTTGAAAGAAAAATTGTTCAAAGAATATTTGGTTTAAGGAGAGAAAATAATAAATGGAGAGTTCCTTTTAATCATGAGGTTTCAGGGGTCTGTTTAGGAGAAAGTTGGTTCTGTTTATAAACCCTTCATAGAAAGGAACCCTTCCCAAAATATCTTAACTTAAAAAAGGACCCTTCACAATTTTTATGATCAATGTTTTGTAAATCGAATTAATCCTTCCCGCTGTAAAAAAAAAAAAAAGACGTATCTAAGATAACCGCAAAGTTTCTGTGAAATCTTTGCTCACGCCCTTCTTTCCATCTCTCCTCATCTGCTGTCCTTTCCTCTCTTCCCACCATTTCACCTCATCCGTTGTCATTTCTTTTCTTCCTGCCCTCTTTCCCCCTGCTGTTCTTTCCTTTCTTCCAGACCGCGAGGAAGCTGATGACATCGGTGATCAGCGCTCTGGCTTTGCGTGTTGCAGGAGAGGAGAATAGCATTTTTTAATGGCAATATGATGAATTTAGAACAAATCAAGTACTCGGGATGTTATTAGTTAAGGATATTTAATAAATCATCAACCCATATTAACATGAATTTTATCTTTTAGTTAACATTGCAAAACTTAGAATTTATGTGGACACTATCTTATGTTATTATTTGCAATATTGATATAATTTTTGAAAATCTTAAAACACCATGAAGAATGAACTACTTTTGTTCTTCATCAACAAATAATGAGCCATCAATGGATTGCATTAACTTGTTATTTATCGGTGACAATTTAACAAGTTAAATCATTGTGTTTGCATTATTCATTTCCAATTGCGATATAGAATATAGTAAAAGCTTTGTTCCTTATTTAGAATATTTTAGTTTACTTCCATATTCAATTACATAAAAATAGTCAGTGATATGGCGTAATTTCTGTATAAAATTGCCAGTTAATAAAGTGCTAATTAACATCTCCTACAATACTGTTATTAACCAAGTTTAACATAGTTTTCTTTTTATATTCAAATATGACACATTATTTTATCAGGTAGAAGGACATTGTTTTCAACAAAAAAAAATGTTTAAAGATAATTAATAAATTTGTTCTCTTAGTAGGCACAAAATCATTTGAAATGTTTTGTCTAAAATGCAGCAATAGAGCGATAACAGTCCTAAACAAAAGTAACGTTACAAAAACAAAATAACATTAAAAAAGTAACATAAATAATAGTAAAAGTTAGCAAATAGGTCTCCTTTCATCTCTCTCACTGAATATATCTCTGTTCCATCTGTAGATGTCCCCTAACTAGGCAGGCATATGTTGTGTAGTTGCAACAATTGATAGATTTATATAAAATATTTTAATGAAATCTTAAAGATCATTGTTGCTACCAATAAATTTTAGCCTTTCGTGTGTTGAGTAGAAAAATGTTTTTTATAAAACAGGTTTATTTAAAGAAGGGTAAAAATTTATAAGAAATAATTTGTTTTCCAGGTATGGCTCTGGTGGATTTGGCTCACGAGATTATCGTCAGTTTGGTAACAGCCGTGAGAGAACGAGTGGACCCAGAAACTCTAATACTAACAGTTATCCCTCCCAGAACTTTGGATATGGAGGAAATCAATACCCCAATCAATTTAGAAATAACTATGGTGGTGCTTCATCAAATGATTGGTGGGGTAGTTAACTGTGTCGAAAGTATAACTTTCAAAGTTAGTTGAGTATGTTTCAAAAACATAATTCCTCTAAACAAGAACGCATTTGTGAATGAGCATCAATTCTTTGTATTTGTTTGTCACATATCCAGGCATTGTGTTAGTAAATGGAAACATATTTTCAGATTTAAAAACATCTCATAATAGCATGGTTTTGTCTCATCTGTTCTACATGCCTAATATTCTCTAGTATAAATGCTATCCAGTTTATAAAATATTATTAATATTGTGACAACTTTTAATCATTTTAAAAAGCTAACTACTTTATAGCAAACCTTTGTTAAATTTTCGCAGTATTTAGTGTTTAGAATCAGTAGCAGTTTATGATTTTGAATTTATATATGAAATAATATTGATAATACTTGTTGAATGCTGCTTCATAATAAAATGTTTATTTGAAAATTTTTTTGGTAGTACTTGAAATTCCTCTTAAATTTATACATCATTTATAATTGAAAAATTTATACCTGTATAAGGTATAGATAAATACATGTGGCTGAAACTATAAAATTATATTCTCAATCAATTATTTGATCAAAAAAATTATGTCATTATTAAGAAATTAATAAAATTTAAGCTGTTAATTTATTGCTGGCTGCTTGATAAATCAATTATGACAGATTATTTTGACTCAAATTATAGTATGTCAGTGAAGCAGTATTTTTTATTTAAATGTATTTGCTTGATTTCAATATTTTTAGGTCTATTTTTATAATTTTCATTGTGTAATCTTTAATAATGTTTTTTTAATTGTTATTTTGTGTATTCTATATAAACATACTTAATACATTATCGTTATTTTCACTTAGATTTATGTGATATATTATGTGCAACGAATTTAACAATAAAAATTTCTTGTAGCATTAGCATACAATGCAAAGGGAAAAACAATAATTTTTTTTTTTTTTTAATTCTCTACAATTTTAAGAGCTGCTACTTAAACTTGTATATTTTTTCAGTAAAGAAAAATGAGTGACAATTGATAATTGCTTCTTTTAACAATGCTTTGAAATTGTTCAGCATTTTTTATTATATAAAGTTATACATCTTGAGATTTTATATTGGTTAGTGAAACACGTGTAATGTATTTGTGAGTTAAGTATAAAGAAAATTATGTTTTTAATAAGGGTTATTCACTTCCAAATGCTATGTGGATTAAAGTAATTATATTCACTTTCAAAGTTATCTGTTGCAAGGTTCAATTTTAACAAAATTATTAAAAATGCAATCTTAAAATTTGACGACTGGTTTCTCACTGCTTTACTGTGTTCTTGTTGCAGCTCTTAGTATAGTTTAATATTTTTGGCTTTGTTTTTAATAATTTTGTTTTCCAAAATCTTCTCTCATTTACCCAGATGCATGTTTCATTTTTTGGTTTATTTACTTTCATGATTAGGACAAACCATATAAAGTGTTAAATTGTTGCCTTTGTTTTCTCTAATATAAATATATACTCATTTAGTAGGTGTAAGTGAATGTTTGGGATTATAAAATACAATGTTCAACTGTACTGATTTTTTAGTTTTGCACTTGGTATTAATTCAATGTTTTATTCTGTTGTGTAACACAGAAAAAATACAGCTTTTAAAATAAAGTTTTTTGAATTAATACATTCAGCAAAACTTATTAGAGTGTGAATTGTATTCTGTGCTTATACAGAATATGTTATATAAAATTAGTTCATAATATATACTCTATGAAGTTATTTATCTTGAAATACTCAGTATTTGTTTATATATTTTTCTTTTTAATATGCAGTTATGTGTATAAATACTACATATTTCTGTGGTACCATCTTGTGCATCACATTTCATATTGATATGCATGGTAATATTATTTTTATTTTAGAAATGGAAGTAAGTAAGAGAAGAAGAAAAAATTACTTTTTTCTTGGTAGCAAGTTTTAAAATTTAGTGCATTTATTTGTACTTTTAAAGAAAATCAATAAATTGGATTAGTAAAATCAATTAGTTTAAAAAGAAAAATTGCTGAAGGATTTATTTTTTTAAAAAAAAAGTTTTTTTTATCTGTAGCGTTTTTACAGTATTATCTCTATACAGACCTGTATTGAAATTCGTTTAATTACCAATTTCTGATACTTCAAACACATTTAGAGACTCGACTCAGTTAAAACTACTTAAATTTTCAAACTTATCTCTTAGTTACTATGATTTTGCTAGTATATTTTCTTCCATACCTTAGTTACATGAAATTTTACTTCTATGCCTGTAAGTTTCTATTCAAAATGTTTCTTATACTTATTCCAGAAACTTAACATTAATTTGTGTTAAAAAGATTTTCTCTTAAATTGCTTTTTTTATATATATTGTACTTAGTTATTCTTATATCTTTCATTTTTTTTTAAATTGATACGTTTCTTGTATTATTATGGTAGTTACTTTAAATTTTAGAATTTGTGTTGCTCTTCATTTCTATGTAAAAGTAACTTTACCATGTTTATATGCGTATCGTTGCAGTTGAGTTTTCTTAGAGAAGAGGTTGCAGTTAAGGATTATAAATTTAGCCATTATGAAAATTCAGATTGTTTGAAATTGTGATTACTTTATTAACTTTAACTAAAGTTTGCCATCTAGGCATATAATTTTTTTATAAAAATTTTCTTTGCCAAAGTATATTCTTAAAAAATCAAAAACAGCTAAAATGCTCAGTAGAATTTGCTGTTTGAATTAAAGTTAAACTCTTTTTAACATTAAAGTATTTGTTCTGATAAATTTATAATAATTCTACCATTAAAAGTATTTTATGCTCTTTGTTATGCTGATTGTTGAGCCGATACTTTTAATTTATACCAATTATCTTCAGTGATTTTCTTATTATTGACAGTGATACTTTGCAGTCTTAATACTGGCTATTATATGTTAATCCAATGACACATTGATGGACAAAGTTGCTTGCTAGTTCCATTGTTTGAGATTATGTGATGGCATGACAACTGAGCTTTTGTTAAAGGTTTAAAAAACTAAAGGTCATTCAATGGCTACAGCTGTCAATATTCAATTGCATCTTTAAATACTCAATATTTATTAAAGGCAACTGCTTAGCCATTATTTTCTCAAACCTGTAATGTTGCTGCAATAAATAAATTTAAGCAATCCTAAATACTCATTTAGAGAGGCTAAATCAAGAACTCTGATTACTCAATGCCTCTTTGCCTTAAATACTCATTATTTAATACTCTATTGCCTTAAATACTCATTATTTATACTCTATGTCTACTTTGGTGTTAATTGTCCATCAACTTGTCAGAATTAACCCATTAACTTTCTAGTTTGATTTATGTTCCTATCTCTATCGAATATTGTATGCATAGATGCCAATGTTACTGAGTTTGTTGTTTTCTTTTACTCTACTAGTTAAGTTCTCCAGGATTTTATACGTATAAAAAATTCTTTAAAATAAAAAGAATTTTCTGATCAATCCATATTCTGATTTTTAACCTAACCTATTATTTGTTTGAAACTAAATTTACTCTAATTTATAAAAAGAGTCAAATTGCTTTTTTAAAATTCCAGAGGTATTTTATATTTTCATAGAATTTTATTACTTACAGGTTATTCATAAATGGGTTACAACTTTTGGAAATGATTTTTTTATATTTACTTCAAAAAAAATTCCACAAATCTCTGGTAAATGGAATAATCACTATTATAGTACAAATTTTATGTTTCGTAAATTTTACTAAATTGTTTGTTTTCTCGGCAGCTATGCATATGAAAAGAAATTATTTTTTTTGCAATATGCTATAGATAATCTAGTTTTTACTGTAGGAACATAACTAAGAACCAATCAGTTAATGGGTTAAGTTGATAAAACTTCTTTAATGTGTTAAAACTCTTTTTATTGGTCCTCTAACTTTTAAGTATTGTTAAGTATCTTACCTCAAAATTTTTTTGTATATTTTTGTTGTTTGTAGAAGGCATGTATGTGAGCTTTAATATTGTTCATCAGTGAGTGTTTATTTATTTACTGTGATACCTTTGTCAGAATTTGATGCTTTTTAAAAGGAAAGTTTGTTTTTGTAGTTTTATAGTTTCAAGAAAACTACAAAAATGGAATATGTTTTTGTAGTTAATATATAATATAATAACATTTTTATAACTATTTCAAAAATATTATTGATTTTGTAGTAACAGGAAATTATTTTTTATGGGTCACTTCATTAAGTTTAAATTCTTTCAAATGAATCAACTGATTTAGCAATTATTTTATAACAATTAAATTAATAATTATTTGTCATTGATTTAATAAAATTATGTTATGAGCTCGTAATTGTTTTAATCATTCTGAAAGGATGTGCTGTTTTAATAGCTATTATTACTATAATAGCTATTATAGTTTGTAATTATCTATTAAATTTGAATTTTATCAGAGACTGAGTTGATTGTAAAATTATTAAAAGATTTTTTTTTTCTTGTGTGTGTGTACATGCCACTACATAAATTAGTAAATTTTGATTACAAATTTGGTTTTTTATTTTTTTATCAAATTTATTGGTTCAAAGTAAAATCTTTATTTTTAAGCTTAGTTCCAATAAATTTCAGAAGTGTGTTTGATGTTATTTATATAGCAACTGCTTCCTGGCCAAAACTAGAGAAATTATATCATAAATGAAATATGTTATAAATTTCTGAGCAGTTGTACAATCGATAAATGGCTTTAAATCAAGAGAGGATATATTTTATATAACAATTCATTACAATGTATATATATATAAAATGAAAGTAATAATTTCTAGTTAGAATTTTCTGTTTTTCTTTTGCGTAGGTAAGGAATATTTAAAAATTTTGTGTCAAGTCCAAGTAACTCTTTAAAACCTATATTTTTAATATTTAACGATTTTTAATGTTTTCTTAATGTAAGTTTACTTTGATTTTTGTACACACCTTGTATTAATTTTCGAAACTTATCAAATCCCAAACCGCTTATTACGATTTGCTTTTCCTAGAAGTTCTTTCTCCTTTTCTGTTCAATTATTAGCTTTCATTTGTAATTATTAATTTATCGAAAAGAAATTTGTCAATAAGTGCTGATGTGTAATAAAACCATGTTAAACAAATGTGATGCTTGATGTTTTTTTGTAGTTTGCTTATTTAATAAAATTATAAATATTTTTGTCTATTTATAATTGCTTTATTTTTGTGCCAAGTCACAATTTTGAAACCAGTTAACTTTGTATTGGAATAAAATATTAGTATATTTTACGTTATGATTCTCATTTATTTGTCAAGTTTAAATTATTTGTTGTCTTTCAGTATGCTTTGAGTAAAACTTCACATATATGATTTGAATTTTTTATCCAGTGTATTTCCAATCAATAATGCACATGAAGTGTTGTTTGATTTGATGAATCTTACACTACTTTCCCACTGTGGGAGTGTTTTATACAATCACTTTAAAATTATATTGTGTATGCATTAGGGTACTTGAATACTTTATGCAGTTAGAATCTAGTAATTCTCTAAAATTGACTTCATCCCTTCGATAATTTAATTTTAAATCTATAAAAATTGTGGACATTAACTTACATGGCTCTTAGTTTTATTAATGCATATAATCTAAGTTAAAATTCAACTTATACAGCTTTTTATATTGATATAAAAATGTGTCTAAATTTACTAAATTGCAAATTTTTTTGCAATTTAGTAAATGTTTAAGCATGTAGTTTTACAGCTATGTAATTAAGTTCAAAGCCACAAGTATAAAAAATTATTCTCAAGTTATTCTACTTGAATTGCCTAGTTTGAAAATTGGTCCTCAATATTGGAGTTGCATTAAAAGTGACCTATTTTCAAACTCAGTGATTATCTTATATATTTAGGAACTTACTATAAGAATTATTTAAAACTTTTTGCATTATTGGAAGAGATTCAAATTTCATTTTTGTTTCTCATTTTGTTATGGGGAATGCATTGAAATAAAAAACTTTTTACCTAAAATTACACATACCTATTTGGTTCTGTTAGAGTGATATCTTTTGACCCCTAGATCTTAGAAAGTATTGTAAATTTATCAGTGTAAGAGAAATGAGTTCAATCAATAATTTTAGTGAAATTCTGTAAAATGTTTAATTCAGCCTTCTCTAGCATATATGCTTTTTGCGTGATTAAAAACCTAACTGTTTGGTATGAGATTAGTTTTTAAATAGCCAGTAACAAAATCTGAAACTGTTGTGCAATTGAAAAAACAGTGTAAGTGCTTCAATATAAGTTTTGAAAAAAGTGGTTTAATATTTATTTTCTTTCAATTGCTAATGTTATGAACGCTAAAATAGAATTTCAAAAATCTGATAAAACAAAATTTATCTTTGGAAACTTTTTTTTTGCAATAAGTAGCTTATACAAAAAAGCCAAATATATATGAAAATACAAATTTGATTTTTATATTGCATGACAGTATTAAAGTATGCCATAATAACAAAAGGCTGCTGTATATACATTTAGTCCACACTCTGTGTAGTCAAACAGTTTTACACATTCAAAACAAAATACTTCCATAAACAATTAGTTTTAGAAAAAGTTTCAAATAAATTATTTAAATCACTATTTCTTTTGATGTTAACTCAGTGGAGCATCTTGAAATTCCTTTGATGTACCCTGTTCTTCAGTTGCAGCTAAGTACAGCTGTTATGTTCACCCTTATTAACTTTTGATTTGCAACAACTATTTTCATGTAAATGGTTTACAGATATATTAGAGAGTTACTCAATTAAATCATAGTAATCTTTTTTGTAGGATTCTATAAAAAAAATTATTACAGAAAGTAAAACAGCTATGCAACAATACACTAACATAATTTTAAGCAACATAAAGGTTAGTCACTCTATAAACAAACATTATTAGCTTCAAAGCACTTCTTGTCATTTGCAATGTTCTTAATTTGTTTTTGTACATTGGGTTTTCTTTTGCATCCTGCTGCATGTCACCAGGTAGCACAGTCATGTAGGGTAATGTCAGTCTGCATTGCCATAGATGACTACACCACCAATTCTTTAGCACTTTATAAATATAAATCATCTGCAGTTTAATGTGATTTTTTTGTTAGCATTAATGTTGCGTAAATTATTCTTTAGTTAGATATATCTTATGGTCTCTTAGACCAGTTATTTTGCTTTTCTCATCCCAGACGGGAAATTACCAAACATGTTTTTGCTTGATTCCTGATTATGTAAATAGTCTGTTGTAGCTAAGATGCTGAAGGTTGGATAGAGAAGTGAAATTGCTTAGAGCTGGCGAATGATTTGCTGCTTGAGTTTCCAGAACTGTCTTCTGTTTAAATATGATTCGACTAGTGACAGTTTTAAAATCGACTCTGCCTTGCTCTTATGTTTATTATTCGATTAAGTTGAAGAAATAATTTAATTTGCCTCTTGGAAAGACATTGATAAAATCAAAAGCCGCCATAGATCGAGGCATTTTAAAAAAATAAATGATAAAAATCCAAAAATGTATCGACATCCTTTATATAACATACTAATGCTTCAATTTCTCCAATTTTAAACGTTAAAAGTATCGCTTCAGTGGATGGTAATAACAAATCCTAAAATGAACACAAGAGGAGTGAGTTCATGTATTTAATAGTTCATGTTTAAACATAAACTATTAAATACACTTGTTTTAGTTTTTTCAACATCCACAATAGAGAAAACTGGTAATGTGGTTCCTTTTTATCGTTTAATTATATGTTGGCACTAAAATATTGGATTCCGTCAACCAGTTATTATTTGCAGGAACTCTAATGTATCGTGGTGCTTCTTGAGAAAACATAGTAGGCATACGAGCATAATAGGGTCTTTTCCAATGATCTAATCCAATTTGATCATTTGGTGCAAGTAGGAATTCTCTGTCAAAAGATAAACGCATAAGTGCAGGACCAGTTCTACCTATATGACGCAGCATTTGAAAAGAAAGATTTAAACCTTCGAACAGCCTAATAAGATTTTCTGGTTCAGTGAGAACTTGCACAAAAAGCCTTCCTGGTCTAAGTGTACTTGCTTCTTGTTCTGTTATGACTTTTTGAAAGCATTTAACTCTCAAAACTTGCAGAATAAAGAAGAATGCCAGGAATGAGCATAGCCCTTTCATTTTTCCTGAGGAAATAAATGCAAATTTCATTTAATAAAGTATGCATTTCATAAGTTAATTGTAAATTCTGGCAGTAAACAAATTCAATTGGAAAAATCATGAAATTTTTCTAATATGACATTGTCTGGCTGTATACGATCAGCTTATATGCGTAAATAGGAAAAGTGCGAATAATTATTTTGACTATATTTGCTTAGGCCTATTGCAATAAAAATTTAATACGGCTTTTAAGAAATCAATACTCAAGTTACAAACTGTCTGAAATAAATCAGGCTAATTAAGCAACAGATGAAATACTTTCTAATTAACCAAAAGTACGTGGGTTTATTTCGATAAGCCAAAGAACTTTCAGGCTGATCAGAAAATTCCCGATTAGCCTGCTGTTTAGTAAAATGACGACGGCTCTTTGCAAAGAGCCATATTTTACTGATCCTGAGTTAGAGTATCCTTGCTGTCAGGCTAACCATAAGAGGTTTTCCTCTCCATGTAACGCAAATGCGGGTTAGTTCCATCTAAAAGTCCTCTCCAACAAGGGCAATTTCTCCCAATACTTGATCCGGGCGTTCCCTTGTTTTCTGGATTGGGTTCAAAATTACAAGGTTACAGAGTTGAACATTCGTAGTCGTAAACCCAAAAAATTTAGTAGGCTGTTCAACGACGGTTATAATATCTAAAGGACCTAGTGCATAATATTTGCGTTAAAACATTTTAACTCAGTGATGCACTCAGTAACGTGATAAGTAAATTATTTGTTTTTAAATTTTATTTATTTTATCTGATTGCTGGGTAAAAGCTACCAACTTTGTTGCATACTATTTATCCGTGCATTTATTTGATTTATAAAGTAGAGAGTATTGATTTCTTCTCATCCACTGGAAAAGTCTTGCCTGTGGCTACTGTCTTCATTAATTACTGAAAGCCATTATTTTGACAATTTCAGTTATCATTGTTATTGTAATTTGTTAATGTTTTGGTGCAATGGGGTTGTTTGGTAAAGAATATATTGAAGCGGTTTCGTAATAATCGCCTTTGATATGTATTTTTAGTATAGTTGTCCGAATCTAAGAACTTGGTTTGAAACAACATTGTTTTGGAGGTCAATGCTTATAGAAAGCTGGGCCCGACTTAGCCTAACTGGGGCCAGTGACAAAAACTGCTTTTGGGGGCCCCCTCTGAACTATATGGAGGTATTTAAATTTTTCACCTCATAATATATATATCATGGCGAAAGACCGAAATCGGTGGTTGTTGACTTTCACCGGTGAATGTCGACAAACACCAAATACGTCGATTAAAGATCGAATATTTCATTACATTCTTGTACATTCGGACCCTCACCGGTGTATGTCGACAATCACAGATATGCTTTGGTGAATGTCCGAAATATTTATTACATTCGATTTGATATGAATTTATTCGTGGATATAATTTCATTTATTCGATATTTTAATCCTACACTGATGTTTTTTTTAAGGTTAAGTGCCACTGCTCGGTATAACCTACACTGATGTTTTTTAAGGTTAAGTGCCACTGCCCGGTATACCCTACACTGATGTTTATTTAAGGTCAAATGCCATTGCCCGGTATATATTTGCCCGATACTCCAAACACTGATGTTTCTTCTAATCTATCGTCAGCAAGTATTAAAATATAGAATAAATATAAATATATCAAATAAATATAATAATATTAAGGAAAAAATAATATAAAATTCGATATAACAAATATTTCGGACATTCACCAAAGCGACTATGTGATTGTTGACATTCACCGGTGAGAGTCAGAAATAAGGGTATTTAGCAAATATTTCGGACATACACCAAGCGACTACGTGAATGTTAGCATTCACCGGTGAATGTCGACATTCTCCAAATTTCGGTGTTTCACCGTAGCATATATATATATATATAACAAGTAAATTGACTAGAACCTTAAAATAGCTATAAAGTCCCCCCCCCCTCTAATGGTATCATTCTGTCCATTTTATTGATTTTCTGACAATTCTATGTCCATCATGCCGAATGCAGTTTTCTGATTGTTAACTTTGTCATCTAGCTGCGAAAATTTCGTATCCTTGCTGACATTAGGGCGGAATTCAGCTAAATTTTCGCAATTACGATGGCTCACTTAAGCCAATCAGAAGCCTGTATTTTTGTAAAATATCGCTTTTTGCGATATGTAAAAATACAGGCTTTTGATTGGCCAAATTTGTCCATCGTAATTGCAAAAACTCAGCTGAATTCCGCACTGAAAAGTCACGGATTTTCGAAATATAGACTTTTTGTGTTCATACGATAGATTAAGGAAGAAGCTATTATAAAACAGACGGATTTTACACTTTACTGATATTTTGTCTAAAAAAGTTCATTAAAGAAGGAAACCAAAAATAAACTTTTAATTCGATTTGGAGGGCCCCCTCTGATGTGGGGGTGAAGTAAAAAGGGATATCAAATTTATATAAGCGAGGAAGGAAAAGAAAAGCAATCGAAATTTACAACTTGTTCAGCAAGTCAAGATCCACAGTGAATTATCGTGCCATAAAAGGGTTACATATTAGAGATCCCTAATTTATATTTAATCAAGAAAAACAAAAAGTTATTGAAATCTAATGAAATCACTTCTGAGAAAAGAAAGCGGTCTTTGATTGCTGGAGGAAACTGAAAAATGACCCAAATTAGAAACAGTTCAGTTTCATAAAACAATCGTACTAGCAATTCGATTGAATTTGGAAGCAACTTTGTTTTCTCTGTTCAGAAATGTTAACCCTTTCGTTACGACAATTCGTTCAGCTGAAGTGACGCCACTGGACGGTGCGCAGCGCGAAGTGTGGACATTACATGTAGTAAGCTGATGTTATGTTTTTATTTAAGTGATACATCTTTATGTAATTGGAGTCAAATATTATAAGTAAAGCTGTGGTGGATTAGGGGATAGAGAACTCACCTCCCAATAAGGTGACCCGGGTTCGAATCCCAGCGATGGCTGGTCAATACGAATTCCGCATCCAGCTCGCTCCAACTACAATGCTGACGTAAAATATCCTCAGTGGTAGACGGATCATGGGTTAGAGTCCCCTTGCCGTCAGGCTAACTGTAGGAGGTTTTCCTCTCCGTGAAACGCAAATGCGGGTTAATTCCATTAAAAAGTCCTCCACGAAGGCAAGCTTCTCCCGATACTTGTTCCAGGAGTTCTCTTGTCTTCTGAATTAGGTTCAAAATTAACTACGGAGATGAATATTGGTAGTCGAAAATTCATAAGGTGGTTGGCTGTTCAACGATGTTTATAAAAAGTATAGGTAGAAATACCATTTAGGATAATTCAAAAATGTTTTATTAATTCAGTATGTTAAATTTCAAAACAAGAGTCGACGTATAAATTCACATTGCAGTATTTACACTCATAAGTACATTCTCGTCTTTTGTAAACTCATGTTTGTGAAAATTACAACACCATGAAGGACTAACGCGAGTGAGCTGAAATTTTCAGGAAATACAAAGTAGAGCATGATATGCAAATGATTAGAATTTCACACTCGTAGCACATGCGCATGCTGAGCAGCGCCGTCTGAACGGCGGATGGATCGGAATAAATAGACGACTGTAGCTAGGCGTGTATGGTTATTGGTGGTTATCTGCTAGAGGTAAATGTTAGCTCAGTCGTTACTTATGCCTCTTCGACGAAAGAGAGCAAAATTTCAACAACTTACGGAGTTTGAACAGGGGAGAATCATCGGCCTTCGTGAAGCTGGATTGTCTTATCGTGCAGTAACCGCTCGTGTGCAGCTTAATATAAGCACAGTGATACGTGCTTGGAAGCAGTGGACGGACGAGTGTCGGACAACTCGGAAATCCGGGAGTGGACCCCGAAATGTCACGTCAGCTGACGATGATAGACGCCTAGGCCGCATGGCGGGGACGGACCGTACGGCTCCCTCTAGACAACTGGCAACACAGTGATCAATAGCTACAGGCATGTGCGGATCGTGAATTTGTGGGGCCCTGGGCTGAAACTACTTTGGGGCCCTAATAGCCATTTTGTCAAAAAACTGTTTTCTATATTGATGTACATAAGTATATAGAAAAAAATAGTACAATAAAATAATTTAATTTATTTTTTCATTTATTTATTTTTATTTGTCTACGAACAGCAACTATACAACATTATTGCAAAAGAAATTGACAGGTTATGTGTAGTTATGTTATATAAATTATAAAGCAACCTTTCTGCATTTTGGTGTTGCAAATTCCTTCATTTGCTCATCACATTGTAAGTCCTTCGTTAAATCACAATTTATGGAAAGGACTGATAAGTGATTTAGTCGATGGTTTGACATTGCTGTCCTATACTTGTTTTCTATATATGACATCCTGGAGAAAGAGCGCTCCGCTTCACAGCTAGTGATTGGCAAAGTTAAAAAAATCTTTAGGATAGTATAGCAATTTGGGAAAACATCAACAAGTTTCTTTTCATAAATTAGCATAAAAATTTCACTGCAAGAGGTGTAAGACTCTGGCTTAGACTGAAGTAAATAAGATTTTAACTGAATGCACTCATTCACTAAATGCTCGTCTACGTCATCTGGATAATAATCAACATTATTACGTACACTTTCCAGATTTCCATATTTTTGTCTTGCAAATCCATTAAAAATTTGAATTTCTTGTTATACATCTCATAGACTTGACTCCTTTTATTTAAATCCATAATCAGCTTATCCAACGCAACGTTTAAAGTGTCTCTTTTAAATTTTTCTGCTCCGTATACTGAGAATTTATCTGTAGACTTATCTGAAAATTTTGGAGTAATGCGTCTCTTGTTTATGTCATTGTAGTCTATTCCCACACTAGTACTTAATTCTTTAGCTTTCTCTCCGTATTCCTTTAGCTTCTGATCTGATTGGTGCCTTATGTTTTTCACGAGGTCTTTTAATGATACAATTAATTTGTTGCCTTCACAAATAACTTGTTGCCTTCACGTGTCAACCACACTAACATTGATTTCTTATGTTCATTAGAATTTTCATGATTTTCTAAACAAGTTCCTATGTGTTTCCAATCAGAAAATCCGGTTGTGTATTGAGAAGGAATTTTAGAAAAAAGTTTGCAAGTCAAGCAAAAAATAGCACCAACCCTGGTTGAATAAAATAACCAAGATCTTTCCAGTGATTGACCATTTTTCATTTTCCTAATGAAATACCTATTTGAAAATGTTCTGTTTTGTTCTTTGTATTTCTTTATTGAAGCTGAATATATATTTTTTGGATCTTTATTTTGAAAGTCAGCCATTTTATGTGAGAGTATGTCATTAATAAATTCATTATTTAGCAATTCTGGCCACAAGACCATGTCAACATATTTCTCAAACTTAAAATTCTCTAAATTTCTTTCCGCCTCGGTATTACCGTCCTCTTGAACCTCCTCTTACCTCCTCTGAACACCAATATAGTTTTCAGTGGGATCAGAGGGTTTCTGGTAGTCAAGACAGTTATTAGTAAACTAAACAAGTTTGTCACTTTGACGACCCAGAACAGAAGTACGAAAAAAAATTACGTCGGGTAATTCCCCGTTTCGTTCGATAGAAGCGCACATGCATGGGTTGATTGATCTCAGGGTTGCCAACCTTATAATATATTTTTTTATAATATTAGATATTTTTTTAATTCAAAGTATCACCCATGGTTTCCAGTAAGGACTGAGGCCCTTTGTATTCACGGGGCCCTGGGCTGCAGCCCAAAAAGCCCTTAAGTAGATCCGCCCCTGGCTACAGGTGTTTCATTGTGTGCTTCATCAATTCGTAGACGTCTGCTGCAGCGTGAACTGCGAGCAAGGACTTCTTTATACAGATCCCCCTCACGCTAAACTATCGCCGCCTGCGGCTACAATGGGCCAATCAGCATAGGTACTGGCATGCTGATTGGCAGCGTTTCGTGTTTTCTGATGAATCCCGCTTTAATTTGTGGTACCATGCTGGCCACATTCGTGTCAGACGCTATGCTGGTGAACGCCACCTTCCGGAGTGCATTATCGAACACCACAGTGAACGAACATCCGGAGTTATGGTCTGGGGTGCCATAGCATATCATGAACGATCTCAATTGCTACGAATTGTGGGTAATCTGAACAGAAACCGGTACATCAGGGAAGTTCTACAGCCCCTAGCTGTTCCCTTTCTTCAAGCCTTGCCTTGCATTTCAACAGGGCAATGCCCACCCTCATATTGCAAGGACTGTTCAATCCTTCTTTGCATCGCAGCAAGTACAGCTTCTTCCTTGGCCTGCGTATTCCCCGGATATGTCGCCGATTGAATATGTGTGGGATTTCGTTGGTCGGCGTCTCGCTCGGGATCCTCGTCCTGTTGCTTCTACAGACGAACTTTGGGTACGCATACAAACAATATGGAATGCTCTTCCTCAAAATTTGCTTGACTCCATGCCACGTCGTGTGGCAGCACTTATTGCGGCTCATGGTGGCTACACAAAATACTGATTTCGATCTCTTGTTATTGTTTGTTTCCTTTGAAAGTTTAATCATTTATTTATACTACTACCACTCAACTGTGTATTAAATTTCATTTAATTATGACGATTCCTTCATGGTGTTGCAATTTTCACAAACATGAGTTTAGTTTGCTCTGAAAACGACGCACCGTCTATTTTTCCTACCAATTTATATAACGAAGTCAAATATCTTTCTGACAGGGCTAAACGTTGTCCTTAAATTCCTTAATAAAATTAAAATGTCTTTAATTATTAAAAATTTCAATAAATGTCCTAAAATTTTTGTATTTTTTAAAAAAAAAAAATTGTAGTTAACAGCATTTATCTAAAAGAGTATTGAAGAAATTTCAAATTCAGAAATTTTGTTATATGCCATAGGAACAAAATATGTAACAAAATGAAAGCCAAAGTCTTCATAGCATGCCAAGTATGATATTAGTTTATTTCCATTTTAAGAGACAATTACCCTTGACTTGATGGTGTACAACATTCCATGTGGGAGAAATATATAAAAAGTTCTTTTTCTCCCTACATCTCTATATCATACTCCTATGATTTTCAGGAGAGAATCTAGTATTTTCCACTACCTAACAACTTTCGGTATTTATACTATAAAGTTGGCGAAGTTCAAAATCTTGTTTTGCATTATTTTACCGGTACATATAGTTAATGTTGTAATTATATATACAGGGCCCGCGCTAAGCATTCGCTACCTTACCAAATGCGATATTTAACTCGATCGTCAAAATTACGTTAAAATATTTTTTTCTATACAAATCAGTATTTTTTATTCGATTACAGTAATTTTCGGTAGATGCGCCGCTTAACCAATTAGAATTGTGTCCAAATAATATAAGTCTGAAGCAAACTACCATAAAATACAGATCAATCCCCAATATATATTTCTATGAGAAAAAATTAACCATAATTTTTTTTTTTTTTTTTTTTAAGATTTGCATTTTGCGAAGACTTTCGAAAATTGGCGAATACTTTTGATATTTGGCTAATAATATGAAATTCTTAGCGCGGGCTCTGTTTATATATATTTCTTTGGAAAATTTTTCTTTCCCAATTCACCAATTTCTAGTTTATAAAATTCTATTGAAAAATTAAATTAATTAAAAAATTTTCTAAGTTTCTAAAAAAATGATAAATTGTTCATAATTTTGATTGAAAGTAAAAATAGAAATAAACTGTTAGTGGTAGTAATTTCCATGATATAAACTACAAAATTATGCTTAAACGTTTTGCTTCTGTGACATTTTCAAGAGGAACTTCATGAGTTTTGACCTATAATTGCAAAATGCAAGCAAGTTTACATTTTCAAAATAATCTTCATATAGACGGAGAATTTTTTTAAAAAAATATCCGCTTGAGTAGTTTTAGAAACGTTTTTTAAGCAATCATTTCGCTTGACTGCTTTTAAATAATTGAATTCAGTGTTTATTTTTAGAGCAACTTCTGTTTAAAACGAAAGTGAAATTTTCTCGTTCATTATAATATTTTCCTTTTTTCTCAACCAGTCAGTGGTGATTCCTTTCTAGATTTAAAAATTGCGTGATTTTGTGCAATTTTCGGACTTTTTAATTCAAAAGTTTTCACTCATAACGTGACAAATTGATGGTGAATATTTTAATTACTTATTTTTTGTGTCCCGCAGTGGACTAATCGTAAAAGACACGGTTCCCATTAGAATATAGAAGTCAAGCATCACCGGTTGCGGTCAGTAACCGGGTGGGTGACCTTTTTTATTAGCCTGCTTAGGGACCGAGGATGTGCGGTATTGGTCCTCGTTAAACTGTTCTACCTTAAATCGCTCGAATTCGTGCGCAGGTCGTCGGGTTACCAAAGCGGGAGACTCATATCCCCTCAACAGAGGATCAAAATTGTGATGGCATGTCTTCAGATTATCCTCAAAGATGTTTTCCAAACCGTCACCAATAGCCCATTGAGCAGCTCTAGTGCGAAGTAAATAAAGCATCTACTTACGTTGTTTTTTTGCTTCGATACTAACTTGTACGGTCGTTTGAAAAAATTGTACAAAGCAGAAGCAAAATGAGAATTGACGTTAAAAGAATTTCGGAAAACATTATGCTACGTATTCAACACTTAAAACAGTTTAAATATTAGTTATATGAAAATGTTTGTATTGTTGATTTTTCAAGTTGGTCAAACCTTTTTTTAAAATTTTTATTTTTAAGATTTATAGATTACAGAAAAATTTTGCTACTACTGAATGGCTGTACAATTCGGAAGTTATTTATTAGTTTGTATTGTTATTCTTTAAACTACGCATTGTAGTTGATTTTAATACGTTTTGACTTGGTTATAAACAATTTTTCAAAAACACTAATTTCCAATTGCACATAATTCAGAATTTCAACAGAATCAGTAGATCAGTTCTTGAGAAATGAAAATTACAACTTTTTTTAAATTTCCGCTTTTAGCAGATTTTGCTTAAATTTTGTATTTTCTCGTTTAAAATAACATAGTTAAGAGCGAAATAATAAACTGTATACTTAACAAGTCAGCATATTTTTGATATTAATTAAATAAAATAATAAAAAATAATAATTCAACTAATACAATTTAGGGTTTGAGTTCTTAAACCGATAATGCAACATAAAATTTATGTTTATTATCAAACATGAAATTTATTCGTTGTAAAACAAGTCTGAAACAATAGTAATTATTATAATGAAATTATATTAATTAGTTTACTTTGAAATGTTATCACTCATTAATTAAAAGAAAAAGTAATATGAAATTAATATAAGTAATATAAATGAAACCTTTATTCTGTCCCCCTAAAATTTTGAGCCAGCGTAAAAATTACCTGCATGTTCTGGGGATCAGGGTTTAATTTAGAAATCCGGAGACCACAGGCACAAAACTGTTGGAGCCCCATTGGTCCTTAAATTTACATGTTTTTCATTAGAAAATGCCTTAAAACATTTTACAACATAAGTAAATTATGATACAATAGTAAATTTGAGCGTATATTTATTTCAATTTTCGTTTACTCGTAGTTCTAATAGACAATTCTTATGGAAAAAACATACATATTTAAACATTTCCATTTTCAGGGTGCCCGTCATATGCGGGCCCGGGCCTCTTAGCCTTATGATAAATAAGGCCCTGCAGGGGATATTTACTACTTTCCCGTATAATAGATATACAAGTAATTGAAAAGAGTCTATGGGTACATTTTTGGCGAAAAAGTGGCGATTAACAGACAAATCATTAGTCGCCCTGTGACCTATGGAGACCATTAATTTTGCGTAATAGGCCCTGTCACTAAAAGTGAAAGCAAAAATACTTGTGACTTACCGTCATTCAAAACTTTGGTGCAGGTACGAAGCTAAATATCCGAAAGAAAAGAAAATCGCAAGTGAGTTTTGATAATCCACTAACACACTGTGATCAGGAAAAAAAGCATCAACCAATGCGAACAATGAAACCGATTTCAATGGCAGTGACCGTGAAAACAGTGAGGGACTTAAAGGTGACGATCAACCCAGATTTCGTCCAAGTTCGATTACAATTTAAGAAGCGCGTCACTTTTTTCTCTTCGTCTGACCTTCTTATTTTTGTTACCTTTTTGTTGCCTCCTGATACTTAAGAATGAAAATGAAATCTGTGGCTTCATTTAGAAAAAGAGCGTACAGCGAACCGGATACCTTATCGTTGGGAAAAGTGCTTCTGAATAAAATGAGGTTAATTTTTTAACTCTCTCTCGCTCTTTTTCTTGAGTTCGCAATCACGCCACAAAGAAAAAGTTCAATTTATTTTTCCGTGTATAGGGAGGCTGGTGTATGGTCTGTATATTAGGAAGAAAAAAACATTTTGGATTACTTTTCTTTTAAGGATTTGATTTTCTTGCAAGAATCTTCAACTAAGTCTATCTAAAACAGGGGTTTCCAACTTACATGAGGCCGGGGGCCACAATTAAAAACACCAGTCAAATGGCGGACCGCAACTTTATCAAAATTTTATATAGAACTCTTTTATGCTTAAAGGAACATTAAATATTACTGTCAGATTTTTATCAAGTTGTACAAAACAAAAGTATTGAATTACAAATTAAAATAAGAAGTAGATTCTTAAAAATATTTAATTGCATATTAAAAAATTCTGGCAACAATAACTTTAATGTGCACCTATGTATTAAACAATTAATGTGTAACCGATATCAAATTGTTAAGGTATAAAACTTAAAAGTATTTAAAATCCATATACATTTTCTACGCCCGCAAAAAATGACAACTAATATATTTTGGTTCATGGGTCACAAAATATGGCTCCGCGGGCCTCCAGTTGGTAAGCACTGATCTAAAAGATGAACAATATTAATATTCTATCTCTTTACGCTACAAGAGAAAAAATTAACTTTATTTATCAATGTATAAAGAGACTAGGGAGTATTTTGTATTTTTGAAAAAAATCACTGACTTCATTGTGAATTCACATTGTTTTTCGACGGTCATATTCAAGAACTTCTACTTAATTTTCAAATCCCGATATTTTAAAAAAGAAACTATGAGTAATCACACATAGACTTTCGACCACGTTTGTTCGATTTTGCATCAATTTCACCATAACACCATATGGGTTTTTAACACAAATTTTAAATGAGGTTTCTGAAAATCCCAATACATTTAATCGGATATTATTTATAGATGAATTTCGAATCGTGCATTTGAATAAAAACTTTTTTGGAGAAAGTGTTCGATTTACGTCGTTAACCCTCACGTGTTTTTTGATAACTTTTTCGAGAATTATACCACTGGATTTCTAAATAATTTAAAAAATTCTCGTAATTTTTTTAACGGAACTATATTGCGTTGATTAATATTATTACTAGTATTGAATCTCGAATCGCAAATGAGTAATTACCTCTCGATTTTCGACAACGCTAGTTCGATTTCCCCGTAAATCCATGTGGTTTTCGATCACATTCATCATATGGATTTTTAAATTCCGATTTTTTTAACACTTTTTTACTACAAAACGCGGAATCAGAAATTTGAGATATAAGCATTAGTGCGAAGATGATAAAAAAATAAGATTATTTTTTCGGTTATTATTAAAAATATCGTTCGAACTTAATTCTAAGACCTGCTTTTCTTATATAAATATTAAAATATATATAAAAAAAATGTCAGATCGTAATTAAAAATATAGTCACCAATCAAAATTTATTGATCTTGTGGTGGCATTTCATGAGCCCTAGTTTCCTCCTTCCCAACACTGAATTTTTTTTGTAGTAATCCATTTTCTGGATTAAATACAAATAAAAGATGTAACTTTGCACAAAACAAAATTTAGGTTTTCGAGCATTTTATAAAAATTGTAAATAGAAAATTTTTCAGGAATCGTTTGTCTTCCATCTGAGATCAAAACTCTTGACCTCTGAACTCTCCGAAGAAATTTGTCTATTTCTTTCTTTCCCCGAATTTACTTCCAATTTTAATTTTTTTTACAATTTTAATTTTATGTTACACTTTCTTTTAAACATTTTTTGAATGAAAAGCTGAGAATAAGGAGAATTTCATGTCACACATAAACAATGCTCATGCACTCCTTTGTCAGCAAAAATAAGATAATCCGCTCGTTAGGTGACTACGTAATAGTTAAACGGTCCCTTTTTGTCCTACGCCCTACCTGGACGAATCATAGCCCAGCTTTGTGTTTTTCTGTCCAATATAAAGGCGAAATGCCAAAAAGGAAAGTATCTGTCGACATCTTTTAATTTATACCTGTACTTATTTGTATCTGAAAGTATCTGTCAACATCTATAAATAGGACAGCAAACAGAGATGCTGTCCTATTCATAACCCATTTCTAAAGAAATAGATACCAAAAAGACTAAAAATTATCTCCAGTGTCTACATTTTCTTATTTGGAGCCAATAAGGAGATGCTTTCCCATTCATCATCCACTCCTAAAGAAAGAGATACCGAAAAGACTAAAAAATATCTTCAGTGTCAACATTTTCTTATTTGGAGCAAATAAGGACATGCTTTCCCATTCATCATCCATTCCTAAGGAAATAGATCCCAAAAGACTAAAAATTATAGAAAGTATCTCCACAATGTCAACATCTTTCAATTTGGAGTAAATAAAGAGAAGCTGTGTCCCATTCCTAAAAAAAGATTTGTAAGATATCTGTGCACAAATGAGAATAACCATCCATAAGATTTAAAAGAGCTTGTTCATTTAATGAATCCAAAAGAAATAGATACTAACGCTAATTAGTTACAATCAGTACTGTCTTAACGCATGGGCACACACGGCCAGTGCCCGTAGGCCCCAGGCACTCAGAGTGCCCTTCAGAATCTTACTTTTTACGAATTGTAATAAAAACTTACAATAAACAACATTGTCTTAAATGTTCTAAAATAAATATATACTATTGTATCAAGTCTGTATTTCGTTTCTCTTTCAACAAATAGTGATTGATTATCATGCAAACATCAATAATTTGAATAGTTTATAACAAGAAAACTTAAAAAAGCAACTGACATATATTTTTCTACGTTCCAATGAGTTTACTGTTCAATTGGCGCCTGCAAGGTTCATACGCACCTGAGAAATAAATTAATGTGAGCAAGGTTTATGTAAAGTCATACTAACGCTCAAAATGCCTGACCACCACCAACTCTGTTTAGCATTTAAAATTAGTTAAATAAAGTAATAATTGAAAGAGTTTAGAATTACACAGCACTATGGTACAACAACTTTTAAACTGGTTATAGCTGATGTGCATTGAAAGATGTTTTAATAACTGCTAAGTTTGACAAAATTTTTCTTGATTTGTTACATTTTTACAAATTTAATTATTTCCCATGGATTTGAAAATTATTTCATTATTTGAGGATTGCAACTGGCAAGAATATAAATTTTTTTAAAAAAAATTATGCATATTTTAAAAGTGCTTCATCTTAAGTTCATTTAGTTTTGGGGATAATCAAAATGCGTTTAAGTTTGTTAAAATTATTGCATATATTAAAGCTTTATTACATGTGAGTAAGGTTTTTAGTTCGATTCAATGATATGTTATAGAGGCCCAAAACATTCACGTGCCCGGGGGCTAAACAAGCTATCAAGACGGCCCTGGTTACTATAATAAACTTGTAATTTATGATGATATTAAGAATCTGAAATATTAAAAGAGGTTATAGCATCAGGAGACATATTAGATAAGGAAGATGTCAAAACAGAAGAATTTCAGCAAAACTAAATGCAAATGAAGAACAAGGATGAGTTTTCCCCCCCTCCATTTTTTAGCTGAATTCCAATTTTTTTCTTCCAATTTAACATAAAGAAGAATTCCGCCTTCTCAAAGGAAGTTCCAATTTACTGAATTCCTGAAGAAAAAAAAAGATTAATTTTTTATGCTCTATGTAAACGAGATTTAAAATTACACATCGTGATCTGCATTCACTTGATTTAAAATTACGCATCGCAATGCATATTCACTTGATTTAAAAATTTTCCATCGGGATTCATATACACGGGAATTAAAAACCACACATCGAAATTCGTATTCACGCGATTTAAAATCACGATTCATATTTGTGCGATTAAAAATTAAACATCGCAATTTATTGGTGCGGAATTTAAAAATTTCACATCGGGTTTGTATTCAAAGGATTTAAAAATCAAACATCAGGATTTGATTTCACTTATGAAATTTAAAAAAATCACGCATGGACTTTTTTTTAATTGAAAGGTTGATAATATTCTATGGATACACATTTCCTACATACACGTTTTTCTAGCTTAAATTTCAGGTATTTTTTTTTAAAAATTATTTATAATTTGTTTCACACAAAACACTTTCTAATTTTTTATTTGCAGCTTTTTTGTAGTAAATTCATGTTATACAACTTATGAAATGTCAATAAGGTTATGAATCTGACCAAATTGTTAAAAATATTCGATTGAAATACTCGATTTTTGATATATATTTCATATCTAAAATACTCGATATCCAAAATTTTTAGAGTCTCCTATCTATTTCGTGATATCGATGTCGGACTGAATTTGAATTTCGCACTTATTTGTGCAATAAAATGCAACCAACGAATAGAAAGAGAGAACGGAATCTGGAAATTCAGGGTAATTATAATTAGAACAGTACGCGTTTTAATTGTTGAGCAATACTTCAGAGGATTCTTTCCCCGTTGTCTTGTATTATAGATTAAATATTTGATTTTCTTTTTTTCGGTATTAACAAATGTTTGGAGATACAGTCTCACAATACTATACTTTTCAAACAAAATGGCAAATAAAGTTGTCACCTGAATAGACAATGAGAACTTTCATGAAATTTTTATCAAAAAAGTAAAGTAATAAAATTACGGGGTTTGGGGTGTTAACTTTTCAGAATATAATTTTAAACTGCACATTTGTCAGTTGCTTTTAGATTTAATTTTATTTTTGCTTAAACTGATGGAAAAAGAATTTTGATGATGCTAAATATTTATTTTAATGCAAATTGTGCAAAAACGAAACAAATGCCAAAATTTGAAAACAAAAAAAATATTTATCATACGAAACTATACCTTTCAAAAAATACTGATTGCAGAGTTGTATTGTTATAATTTTGAAAGAAAAATTCTATAAAACCGCACGCTATATATCGTTTAAATTCTAATAAGGCGACTATTTTGTTTTACATGTTTCGAAAAATAATGCAAAATCTATCCTCCATCAGTTTATTTATGAAAATAAAATAAAGATGATTTAAAAGCACACACAGAATTTCTTTCCTCCATCTTCAGTCGAGAGGAAAGAGGCCTCTACCCTCGCCATTTTGGATTTCAAATTACATTTTTAATTTGTATTTTCTTGATACATATTTTTTTCGTATTTAAACTTTTGATGATATTATTATTAGATAGCACAACA